CTGCCGCACCATGTATAATATTTGATCAGATTATAACATGTGTTAACACAAAAAAATTAGAAAAATTTAATAACAAAACGAAAAATTGTAAAACAACTAACTAATAATGAAAAGAAAAATTTATAATGGTCCGAGACAAAATAAATATTATAAATTAAAGAATATAAATAGAAAGCTTACAAAATAATTATCAACATCTAACTAATATTAAAAAGAAATTTTTATTTTGGTCGATATTCTAATTTTAAATAGTTTATTTTCAAATTTTTGTTAGGTCAAAAATATTTAAAAAATTGATTTCATCAACTGAAATCTCTTCGATGGAATAATCAAAGTTTCACATATTAATTAGTCCATCAGATTTAAACACATGTAAGTATTTCTATATTAGATAAAAATAAGATAACACAAATTAATTCATTTTTCATATCATGAATTCAAAACAAATGTCAATTATAATAAAAATGTAAAAAGATTACTAATCTTATTTATTTAGTGATTTGTTATCGGATTTTTATTATTATTCTATTTATTTTTTAAAAATGATTATATTATGTTTAATAATTTTCCAGAATTTATTTCAAAAAAATTAAAATAAACCCGCATATACGCGGAGCCTAATCTAATATATATATACACTATAATGTACCTTTTTATAGTAATAAATATGTGTTACCTTTTTTACGTTACCTTATCAAATATACCTATAATTAACTAATTAACAAAAGTCAAGAAAACCCGATAACCTTGTTCTCTCAAAAAATGCGGCCACCCATCTCAATATCTCTTCTCTCTTTGCTTCTACTTCTCCTTCAACCTTTTACTGAATTATGTAAAATCATTCTGCCATTTTCTGTTGTTTATTTTTCAATCTAATAGATCACAATCATCAAAACAGATATAAACAATCAACTAATAGAATAATTTAATTTCGAAAAAAACTAAAAACAATGGTGAAATTCTTACAAATTGAAAACCGGGTTTTGGTGGTTCTGCGGTTCGACCCGGTTCGCCGGTTTTCACCGGTTTTTGAACAAATTTTAAAGGTTTTATCCAAATCGGTTTCTTGAGATGAACCAAACCGGGTAACCCTCTGGTTCGCGGTCGAACCGGTTCGACTGGCCGTCCGGTCCGGTCCGGTTTCCAAAACACTGGGAGAGACGAAACTTTCATGCACATGAAACAGAACAGAAATTTAACAACAATTAATAAACTCCATTAGTTTTGATAGTATAGACTCCATATTTCATATTTATTCTGATAAGGCTATATGTCTCTTCCCTGGTTACAGATTTTTGGAGTGTTTTTCTTCACCGCATATCTAACAAGCCTTTGAAAATTCAAATATCGTCGTAAAGTTTTAAAATTTTGCATAAGTGAACTTCTCCACTCTAGTCTCCATCTCTTTGTTTCAATTTCTTTAAAAGAGTACACAAATTTTCAAAATGGCTGTTCCTAATTTTCTTGAGCTTTAACCATTACCATGCATGTGTAGTAATTTTCTCAATGGGTCTCAAGGAAATTCAGAGATTTGATGTTATTCTAGATGAAAGAAAAATTATGTACCAACATTATTTGGTGAAATACTTAGATAAATTTAAGATGATTAAAATTGCATAATCAATGAAAGTTGAGGAGCTGTTGAGCGTGGGAATAAGGGCGCATGGGACTTTGGCCTATCTTCAATTGGCACCGACGAGTTTTTTTCATGGCCTCCAAAAAATTTACATTTTCTTGGATTTTGAAAATGAAAATCTTTCGCCCTTATAAACAAAGTCATAACTCAAATCCTCACTTCTTGCACATAACCTCAGGAAAGAAAAAAAAAATACGGAGCGTTTGGTCGAGCTCCGACGTTCTGGAATGATTTTTTCTTATCGGAAAACAGAGCAACAACAACTACGGAACCACCAATTAATTCTTTGTCGTATTGTCTGTGTTGCCCTCTTTACTTCTATGTTTTTATTTTATTAGTATATTTTAGTTTTTCACTTTTGGAAATTGCCTTATCTAGACCTTACCGAAAATGAAAGGTTTCTAAATATGGAGTTATATTCTTACTTAAAGTAGATGCAGAAATACACATTAGGGTTGATATTTTTTAAGTTGTTATAATGCTGAGTTTTTTCTTAAACTTATGTTATGTGTCTAAAGTACAAGATTAACAAAGAAAAAATATCACAATCTCAAATAACTACTTATTAATACTTCCTGTCTTCCTTTTTTTTTTTGGTCAACGAAATAATTCCTCTGTCTCAAATAATTTTTTATTAATAACAGTTTCCTTCTTTTTTGGTCAAGTTGATTCATTTAACAAAAATAAATTGCATGTTTTTTTTCTATCAATAAATAAATCACATGATATTGGACTAAAATTTAGTTGGGCTTAGTCGCGTTTGAACATAGACAAATTGAGATGGACCGGCAAAAAAGAGACATATGATTAGGATTGAACTTTGCTTGTTCACCAGCTCAATAAAAGCCCATGTTTCTGTCAACTAATTTCATTGTAATTTACGTATACATAATACACTAAAAGGAAAAGAAAATATGGTTTAAGAAGATTTTTAATTCATTTGTATGTTGATTTGTGGGTTTAAGAATAAATTTTAAATCATTTTCATGTTGAATTTGGTCCATTTTGGTCCCAAAAAAAATTGAGTCTATTTTGAAAATACCAACATTTTTTAGTCTGTTTTGGAGAATTTCCATGTTGAATTTGGTCCATTTTGGTCAAAAAAAGATTATTTTTTAGAATTCGGACAGTTTGATTTTAAAAAGTGTTTAGACTTTGTTTGTTGTACTAAATAGAGAATTGTTATTTTGAAAAAAAAAAATAGAGTATTGTTATATTGGGCGATATCATATTATTATATTATATAAGGCTGTGTATATATATGTCCTCTATTGTAAGTTATGTTAAGGTTAAGGTATTAAGCTCAATAGCTCATGTATAATGATATAATTGTGATGCAGGCTTACTGCTTACAGTCTCTGTTTATCTTTATGTCAAAAATGAACACTGGCACACTTTCAAAATTCAATACCTAGAAGGTTAATATAATCTTTTTCTAAAAGTAAAACAGGTTAATAAAATATTGGACTGAAGAAGACAAAGAAAACACTTTCCCACATGTATGCATGATTCTCTGGAACATGATGGATGGAACAACATTACAAATATGAGTGTGCTGAGCCTAATGGCATACTTGAGAAAGATGATCCATCACTTTCCAGAGGGGTTTTTCCAATAAGTGAGAGATAAAAAATGATTTTCTATGAATGAACTAAGAGTGATAGAATAAACTTTTTTGATAAACCATGTGGTGTAACTCGGGAGATAGAGCCTATGGTGCAACTCGGGAGATCGTGACTTGCACCACGTATGACTCCTTAAACCATTTCCAAGAGTTTTAGTCCATTTCGGTTAATTACTCAAAGTTTAATTAAAATCTCGGCAGTGGCAATATAATGGTATACTGGAGTAAATTATCGTAGTAAAAAATGTACATATACATATGTTCAAACTTTAGAAGATTGTAGCTATCATCTTTAGAGTTGATAACGAAGTTAAAAATGATACTACTACCGTACTTTTTGAAGTATTTATGCAGATCAAATATCACGTCTATAACGCGTCAACAAATTTCGAGATAGATCGATAAGACAATGCCAATTTGCTAACTTCAACTTGTCATTAATCCAATTCATTGTTCTATGTTAGATCCGAGATAGCACTCGTCAAGACGGGCTATCAAAGATGTGAGTTTAGGAAACTGGAATGCTTAATTCGACTCTTAGATTATCAAGAAAGTTACAAGGAAGCAATCTCGCTAACAAGCCTAGCGAGATTATGGTGATGAACAAGAGGAGAGAGTAAAAGCTAATGTGAAGGCCTAGTGATTCTAGATGATTTCGGATCCCTTTCTCCATGGGGGGTCTTCAATATATAGTGTTGATAAGTCGGCCGAATGATGAATATTCTCCTTCGGCGAGATGGAAAACTTCCTCTTTTGCGATATGGAAAACTTCCTCTTGTTTTTGGATCTCTTAAGTCGGCATGAAGATTTATTTACATTTCTCCATGGATTGTGCCTTCTCTTCAAGTCTTGCCTTTTTCTTGAAGAGTTAGGCCTAAAATCGGATTGGGCTTTGTGACTTTACTAATGATGACGGGCTCAGGGAAATGTGCTAATTTCTCCTCTAACAATAAGTCCCCCCGCCAGCTCGGCAGGCCAAATGTAGTTTGATCTCGGCGAGCTTCATGAATAGAGGACGAGCTTGAGAATCATTAGTAAAATACATCACTTCAATCGGATCTTAGTGCCTAGGTGCATGCTGAATGTAGATTCGTGCCGCCTCATTAAAACCTTGGTACGGAAAAACCCAATTGGGACAAAAACCATAAAAAGGAAAAAGAGTACGTTGACGTCATCTAATCCATAAATGTGCTTCAAATGATTTTTGCCGAGACCAAAAATGCTTTCTTGGTTCGATCTTAGTCTTCATCTGTAACTGGGCGATTTTGCCACGTCACCGCTCAAGTGGACTTGTTTGCAATTGCGTGGGCTGAGTCCGATAGTCGATTAAATCGCGCGGAGGCCCAAGCCCATTAGTGCTTTTCCTTGAGCGGGAAAGAAATGAATAAAAAATTCATAAGGGCAGTTGTGTCCCTTGGAAGTCGCGCGATCTCTATTAAGAGACCGTTCGAATTTCCTTTATTCATTTTTGCTTCTTTTCTTCTTCTCACTCAACCGTCCCGACGAATCAAAGGTAACTCACTAATCCGACTTCAAATCTTATCTCGATTGTTTCTCGAATTGATTTTGCGGGATTTAGGACTAGGGAATCACGGCTCGAATCCAGTCAGGTTGTGCTCTGATTTCGTCTTCTGATCTTAGGGTTTTGCTCCGTCGATTTTGGTTACTCCGATCTTCGAATTTCCGAATTTTCCGTTTAGTCGGGATGGGTCCGCAAGATAGAAAGGGAAGGGTATCGCCATGGATGATGACGACAAGACCAAGCGTCGGGCCCGGTCATCCGGCAATCCCGACAGACTTCTTGGCGAGGCCATCCGTGCTGATGCGGCCGAGGCACGCCGGAGGAAGGCTGCCGAAGCGGAAGCCGCGGCGGAGGCCGAAAGAGTGGTCGAGAGGGCCGAGATGGAAGAGGCGATAAGAGTTGCTGCCGAGGCCGAGCGTCGAGAGGCGGCGGAAAAAAGGATGAAAGCGAGGGAAGAGTGCGGCCCGTGCGATGACTATGATTCTGATGCCGACTCGGAACGTGATGACGAAGAGGTTCCGGATCGTCCTCGCTTGAAGGGCATCCCTGAGATTATCAAGATGCCGAAGCATGCCGAATCCAAACTGCCGCGTATAACGGATGGCAGGACGTGGATGACTCCTGAGATTCTTACAGCGCTGACGAAGAGAGTTGGCTTTTCGGGTTGTATTGAGTTCCGGATTCCGAAAGAGCACGAGAGGCCTTATGATGCTCCGCCGGCATGGATATGCGTTTACGAATGCTTTTTTACTGAGTACGGAATGAAATTCCCTTTGCCTTTCTTGTTGCTGAGATTCGCCTCTGAACGAGGTGTCGCCGTTAGCCAACTGACTCATGGCGTCTTTCGTCACATGGTTTTCACGGAAGCCTTAGCGAAGGCCGCGAATGTCACGTTCGACCGTTATCTTTTTGAGAACGTCACAGATCTTCGCGCCGGATCCAAATGGGAGGGGAGCTTCAAGCGTTTCCACACCGCGATGCGTCATAGAATCGTCTTCGGCAATTATCGGGATAAGATCCCCGACTGGAAACGATACTTCTTTTTTGTGAAGATTAGCAAGGCGTCGGTTGGGAATTTCAAATCCGAGCAGATCAAAACCGATTGGGTTTCTTCGCCGGGTAGAACATTGGTGGAATTGTTCAGCTCGTTGCTTTTATTGAAATGCTTTTTACTGATCTTTGCGTCTCTTTTTTGGCAGATCCATTACGACGAGCCAGGCCGAGCACCGCCCTTAAAAATAAATTCAACGCTTTGAGGGATCTTAGTCATCGGATCTGGCCCGAGGTCGTGGAGAAGCTTGAGAGAGAGAAGAGAGAGAGGAAGGAGAGGAAAGAAGGGAGAAGCAAGCCTGCTGTCCCCGTGACTCCAGTATCCAGTAAGCATCTCACCTTTCCCTCATATTCGATTCTGTCGTGGATCACTTAGCCTTACGTTTTTATTCTGTCTCAGCGAGGTCGCCCCGACTCAAGAAGAAACCGATGGGTCTTAGAAAGAGGACCGCCGTACCGATTGACGACGTTGTCATTGTTTCTGAGCCGGCGTTTAAGAAGAAGAGGGTTGGATCCCCAAGGTCGAGGGACTCTCCTTCTCCTTCTCTCCGGAGTTCTTCTATCGCGTCGCGTACGAGGTGAGTTATCTGTTCGTCAGATGTTTGGGAATCTTGACGATCGATTATTTTTGGTGCTGAGTTTTGATGCTTTTCGCAGGGCTTCGGCGAGGAGGACCTCGTCTTCTGCTCCGAAAAAGGTTCCAGAAGGGGTGGTCGAGCTTGATTCCCCTCCTTCGGACCGTGATGGTAATGCATCCCGTCGAGATGAGAGTGCTCCTCGTCATGATGACGACGTGATGACCCCGCCATGCGGTACCTCGCCTGTTCAGGAGGAGGAGTTCCTTACTTATCGTGATGACGGTCCTTCGTTTAACCGAGGCGGTGGTCTCGGGGGAGATGAATCGCGTCGACGCCCTGATGACAAGGCAGTTTCTCGCCGTTCGGAGGCGCACGGTTCTGCTCCCGAACCGAATCTTGATGCCAAAGACGACAGCGTGCTTCCGAAGCCCGAACCTGAGGATTACAATCCTCATGCATTCAAGATGCGGTGGTACGGTGTCGGCCCTGATATACCTCTAATTTACCCACTTTTTATACTGTTTTAGCATTGTTTTCTAATGGTTTTTGGCAGGTTTTCTATCTAAAAAGGTAGTTTTACTGTGTTTATAGTGTCTAGAGTCTAAACAGGTGAAATGATGCATTTTGGAGCAAAACCATAGGATTTGCACTTCAAGCAGCTCCATGCACAAGCACCAACTTTAAGAGGGCCCAGAAAAAGATCTACTCAATGGATTTCATCAAGACCAGTTCCCTGCGTGCTCTGATTGAGTTAACTTTCCAACGCAACTGGAATGGCCTCATTTGGATGAGTAGAAAAGGAGTTATACCAAAAGAGTGAAGACTGTCCAGACGGCTCTATCGAGAGAACAGCGCCCAACCGCGCAGTCCGGCTGGCCGAGGAACGATGTTCCGCGCTCGGCCAAACTCGTCCGTCCGACTGAAGTCTCGGCCAAAGTCCAAAACCACTCGGCCGATCACGCATCACGACCCGGGAAACAAGCCCGCGGTCGGCCACGCCACACGCCACGCCAACCGCGCACGACCAAAGCGCGCGAGCCGGGAACAAGCCTCGCGGCCGCGCAACTCCGTTCGCGTACCACGGCCGACGCTCCGTCCGAGCCGGGAGAACGTCCCGCGTCCGGCCGAGAGATTTCATCGGCCAAATCTATCCGCTCGACCACGCCGCCGACCGTGAATCCGTCCGACCCCGACCGTTCCGACTCGGCCACGACCCGATTGTCCGGCCGATCGTCCCGCACGACCGTCCCAACGCCGCGGTCGACCCGAAGCCCTTTTTGAAGCCCAAACTTATGTTTTCAAGCCCGGCTTAACCCTAAGCCGCCTCTAGAAAGACCTAGCACTATATATATGGATTTTTAGCCTCTTGAGAAAGAGAGCCGCCCTGTATTTCGATTTCCTACTCTAAGTTTTATTGCAATCATGTTTTCTTCATCTCTATGTGTGTTTGCTTTGATCATGTCTGAGTAATCCACTAGTTAGGTTGCTAGGGTTACTATTCAATGAGTTGCTTGCATGATCTTTGATTTCAATGATTAGCTAGGGATTATATTAGAGTCTTTGTCTCGTCTTGTGCACTTAACTAATGCTGATTGCTTTACCGCGCATCTAGTAATCCGATCTTAGGTTGATTTGAGCCTCGACAGTGCTGTATCATTCGCCGGACATATTCTTTGACAAGCTAGGTTTCTTAGACTGCGAAAGTTGATCTATCTATATCTAGTGAACTGTATCAGAACCTATTCATTCTAATGCTTGATCTAATCACCTAGGGACATACCAAAAGTTTAGCGACTAGGTAGATTAGCAAAGGAGCCGGAGCCTCGAAAGTGGAATGGTTTTATATTCGTGATCTGTGTTCTAGATGGTTCTTAATATCCCAATATCCCTAATCAATTAATCTATCATTGTTTCATTGATCATTGCTTGCTTCTCTGCGATAGCCCCTATGACCTAGCGCTTTTCCTTTATTGCTTACAACCTCGTTATACTTGCTAGTTCGGTTCACCATTACAACCTCAATCATACTTTTGTTTTAGCTTGATCCAAAATCCATAGTTACAAAGTGTACTCAATAGCCAGTCCTTGTGTTCGATACCCATACTTCCGCGATCTGTGCACTTGCAGAGGTCTAGGAGTTTGGTAAAACCTGACTCCGCATCAAGTTTTTGGCGCCGTTGCCGGGGACTGCAGCAGTACCTTTGGAACTCGACTAGGATCTAGTCTAGAACCTTTTCCTGTTTTACTTTTCTTTTGCTTTTGAATTTTCAGTTTTTGATTTCCTTTTCTTTGATTTTTACTTTTGTTTTTGTTTTTCCCTTTTATTTAACTTGTTTCCAAGACTCTTTTCAGGTGCATGACTAGGAGGTCCAACAAGGACAACCTAGTTGAACATCCAGAGATAGACAAGCTTGAGAAGCAACTTAGGAAGCAGAAAGCCCAAGAGATGGCCGACGAAGCAGCTCGCGCTCACGCCGCTGAAGTGGCGCGCGCTCAAGAAGAAGGAAGAGATCCACCTCCTCCTCCTCCTAATCCACAAGACCCTGCTGGAGATGTGAACGCACAACCCCAAGCTGGAGCACCTACAATCGGAGACTATGACTCTGCCGATGCTTTCTTTATGGATAGAAACCCTATCCATCCACCACCTCCTGCAAGGAATGACTATGAGATCAAGCCTCAGATCATTGCATTGGTTAGACAGAACCAATTCAATGGACTTCCAGCTGAGCACCCTCTTGATCACATAGAAAACTTTGAAGAAATTTGCAGCACTACAAGATCCAATGGAGTCTCTGCTGACTACCTTGAAGTGCAAGCTCTTTTCATTCTCTCTTGGCGACAAAGCTTCAAGATGGTTGAAGTCTCTGCCAGCTCACTCCATCACCACTTGGGATGAGTACAAGGCTGCATTCATCAACCACTTCTACACCAAACAGAGATCGATTTCTGTGAGAAACCTTTCACAGGATATTCAAAAGAGCAAGGGAGCTTCCACGTTTTCAAACCTCTTTCACGGATTTAGATTCTTTTTGCTTGAGGACAAGCAAAGATCTAAGTCTGGGGGAGTTGATATACCTCTAATTTACCCACTTTTTATACTGTTTTAGCATTGTTTTCTAATGGTTTTTGGCAGGTTTTCTATCTAAAAAGGTAGTTTTACTGTGTTTATAGTGTCTAGAGTCTAAACAGGTGAAATGATGCATTTTGGAGCAAAACCATAGGATTTGCACTTCAAGCAGCTCCATGCACAAGCACCAACTTTAAGAGGGCCCAGAAAAAGATCTACTCAATGGATTTCATCAAGACCAGTTCCCTGCGTGCTCTGATTGAGTTAACTTTCCAACGCAACTGGAATGGCCTCATTTGGATGAGTAGAAAAGGAGTTATACCAAAAGAGTGAAGACTGTCCAGACGGCTCTATCGAGAGAACAGCGCCCAAACCGCGCAGTCCGGCTGGCCGAGGAACGATGTTCCGCGCTCGGCCAAAGCTCGTCCGTCCGACTGAAGTCTCGGCCAAAGTCCAAAACCACTCGGCCGATCACGCATCACGACCCGGGAAACTCAAGCCCGCGGTCGGCCACGCCACACCGCCACGCCACCGCGCACGACCAAAGCGCGCGAGCCGGGAAAAGCCTCGCGGCCGCGCAACTCGCTTCGCGTACCACGGCCGAACGCTCCGTCCGACCCGGGAGTAACGTCCCGCGTCCGGCCGAGAGATTTCATCGGCCAAACTCTATCCGCTCGACCACGCCGACCGACCGTGAATCCGTCCGACCGATCGTTCCGACTCGCCACGACCGATTCCGACTCGGCCACGACCCGATTGTCCGGCCGATCGTCCCGCACGACCGTCCCAACGCCGCGGTCGACCCAAAGCCCTTAAGCCCGGCTTAACCCTAAGCCGCCTCTAAAAGACCTAGCACTATATATATGGATTTTTAGCCTCTTGTGAAAGAGAGCCGCCCTGTATTTCGATTTCCTACTCTAAGTTTTATTGCAATCATGTTTTCTTCATCTCTATGTGTGTTTGCTTTGATCATGTCTGAGTAATCCACTAGTTAGGTTGCTAGGGTTACTATTCAATGAGTTGCTTGCATGATCTTTGATTTCAATGATTAGCTAGGGATTATATTAGAGTCTTTGTCTCGTCTTGTGCACTTAACTAATGCTGATTGCTTTACCGCGCATCTAGTAATCCGATCTTAGGTTGATTTGAGCCTCGACAGTGCTGTATCATTCGCCGGACATATTCTTTGACAAGCTAGGTTTCTTAGACTGCGAAAGTTGATCTATCTATATCTAGTGAACTGTATCAGAACCTATTCATTCTAATGCTTGATCTAATCACCTAGGGACATACCAAAAGTTTAGCGACTAGGTAGATTAGCAAAGGAGCCGGAGCCTCGAAAGTGGAATGGTTTTATATTCGTGATCTGTGTTCTAGATGGTTCTTAATATCCCAATATCCCTAATCAATTAATCTATCATTGTTTCATTGATCATTGCTTGCTTCTCTGCGATAGCCCCTATGACCTAGCGCTTTTCCTTTATTGTTTACAACCTCGTTATACTTGCTAGTTCGGTTCACCATTACAACCTCAATCATACTTTTGTTTTAGCTTGATCCAAAATCCATAGTTTCAAAGTGTACTCAATAGCCAGTCCTTGTGTTCGATACCCATACTTCCGCGATCTGTGCACTTGCAGAGGTCTAGGAGTTTGGTAAAACCTGACTCCGCATCAGGCCCTCTCATGGAGGATCGGGATGCTTGTGGAGGAAAGACTTGGTCTTCCAAGGTTCATCCTACTTGGGGCATCCCACGCGAAGGTTTGGTGTTTAGAGATGATTTTGACGAGGCGGCTCAGCATCACGTTATGTCCGGCGGGAAGTTCGCTGCGTTGATCCAGAAGTACGAAACGGCGCTTCGGGCAGCTAAGGACGAAGCCTTTGCGTTGCGGCAGGAGCAGGAGATGGCCAAAGATGTCGATACGATGGTGGCCGATTTGCAGCAGGATAAACTGGTGCTTGAGTCGAAGGTCGCGGCGCTGAACAGGGAGATAGTGAAGACTCTCGGACTCCAGGATAGCAGACCAGCTGAGGGCTCAAGTGAGTGATCTGGAGAGAAGGCGCGTCGGGATGCAGAGGCTTCTGCTGCTGAGATGGAGCGTCTCCGACGGTCTCGTCGAGAATCGGTCGAGGCGGCTGTTACTCAGGTCTTCGACTCGGTGAATGACTGGTATGCTCCTCGCCTCCATCGCTTGTCGGATTCGTCGCGCAGCGGGACATGGTTGAAGCCGCTGTGGGGAGGAGGCAAGTCGACGAAGCTCTCCTCTTTGTGAAGAAGATCCGGGGAGTGGATCTGAACTTCGACGCGATGGAGGAGAAGCTCGCGGCTAAGCTGGCGAAGAGTATCGCGGATGGGGATGCGATTGACGAAGTTGTTATCGATGATGATGACTTCGCTCCGCCTAACAGGTAAGGTTTTTGCTTCTTCTTTTTCGTTATGTCGTGCTTTGCGTAACGTTATGTTTGCTTATGCGTTTTTTGCTTTTGTAGCCTTAAACGGCTGGTGCTGCCGGGATCTCCTTCTCGTCGAGATGGTGATGGTGCTGATCCGGGTGCGGGACCCTCTACTTCTGGGGCCAAGTCTGCTTAGGCCCCATTTTCATTTGTTTTAAGACTTTTCTGGCTGCGGCCTTTTTTTGTTGTAATAACATTGCCTGGGAAGGTTTTTCATCCGTATGCTTTAGGATTTGTGCTTCAGATTTATGCTAGATACTTAAATGTTTTAAGTATGATTTTTTGCTTGCGTGCTTGCGTGTGATGCGGTCACGACTTTTAGACATAATTGATTAGTTCGCAGCGCAACGAAAGTAATCCGGCTTTTGGTTATGTCTTTTAATAAAGGACGATGGTGTCGTCAACCGTATAAAATGAATTAAGTACTTGGTCGTCACCGAGTAGGAAATTCGATTATCGGGATGACTCGTTACCTTTAAGTGTATCACGACATGGTGCGCGTGATGGTGCTAGTGCGTCATGACTGGACGCGATGCTTTCGGGTTTCGTCATGACTTCTCATTCGAGACACCGACCGGCGCGTATTAGGTCTGTGTGCTTAGGATGTTAAACCTACTTTCAGCGACGAGCTCTAGAAACTCGATTTATGCTTCCGACTTCAAAGCTTCGTGCGGGTGACGAGGTAGCGGTTTTTCGCTCGTCCGACGAACTGAGAGCCGTGCGAGGTGCGTGCTCTCGGCTTAATGAATGGGTGATCAGTCCATGTTTTTAGGGTGCAAAGTGCAAGTGCTTATTGAGTTTGCCTCAATAACTTGGTTTGACGTCAAACGGGTGCGTGCTGGGTGTCGACAAGTTTCAGCTTATGCCAGAATGAGGCGCGCTTGTCGAGAGAAAAGGTTTTAATAAAATTAAAATTTTATTAAGTATTATAGCTGCGCCCTTAAAAAGGCTGCCTACGTACCCGTGCCGGGATCAAGCCATTCGTAGTTCGTTACAAATGTTCATGCATGGACATGTCTTTTTTTTTTGGCTAGCGCGGTGCTTCGCGTCTAGTCATGGAACTTGCGCAGATCCGACGAGCTCCAGAGGCGATCGGACGTGATGCCTAGGTTGTCTTCTAGCTGATAGACTCCTGGTTTGACGACTTTCGCGATGCGGAATGGTCCTTCCCAGTCGGAAGCCGAATTTGCCGAGACCATAGATCGTATCATCATCGGTTTTGCAAAAGACGAGGTCGTCTAGTGCGAAACGGAGGTGTTGCTTTAGGAAAGCGGCTGCTAGATCGTCGAAGCTGTCGATGGAGTCGGCACGGAGGTTGCTGAACCATGTTAGGGCGTCGCCGCGCAAGTGTTCGGCGAGGGCTTGGCAGAAGTGCGCGCTTTGTTCTTCCGGCGATGTGATATTTCTGTCTTCTCATGGCCGTCATGAAGGATGTGATCCACTGCTTGGGATCTTCTCGGCCGTCGTAGAAGTTTAGGTGTAGTGAAGCGCGCTTCTTCAGTGGTACCTCGGATAGGCGGCTTGTCAGGGGAGTTCTTCGAATATCGGCAATGATCTCGAATATCTCCTGATCGGAGAATGAGCATTGGGGTGCATGGCGATCAGTCTTCGCGATTCTCCATGTTTCTCCTGGTCTCGTCGTCGCAGACAGGGTGCGTCTCGGCGAGGGAGAGATTCGTGATGGCATCTTGGTGCTTTATGCGTGGACTTTCCGGGCGAGAGGATGATGACTTTCTCTTGTTTCAACCGGAACCGAGGATCTTGGGTCGAACCGTAGCTGCGGGATGTCTTGCTCGAGGGATGTAATTCTCAGCGCGAAGGAAGGCGTCCTTCAAAGTTGGGGAGGATCGGAATGGAATCTTCAAACTTAGATTCGGTACCGAAGTCCGTTTCCGAGGGCTTGGACGAGTACCGTTCCGCGATTGGGGGTGCTCCCGGGTCTCGTCAAGGTCGAGCAGCGTGCTTTGAATCTGTTCAGGTAGCTTCGTAGCGGTTCGTCCTCGAGTTTCCATCTCGAATAGATCGGAGAGATCTTGGTGTTAAGGCTGGACCTTAAGTCGGATTTCCAGGCGGGCTCGGCGTTTGCTTTTGGAAACGGCGGCGTTTCTGCGTCGTGCGATGTATCGTTTATTGTCCGTCGGTCTCGTCATACAATACGGCTCGATTCTTCGCGAGGTTGTTGGTTTGAGGGTTCGGCTATCATAAAGGATGATGCGGTGCGGAGCTTGCGCTCGCGAAGGAAGCATGATCGCGTCACTCTTTGATCTCCACGCAAGGTGAAAATTCCCGGACTGGTGGAAAGTCGAGACGACGGCTTCATTTCGTGGAGCCAGGGGGTGCCGAGTATTGCGTTATAGATGGCCGGTTTGTCCATGACGATGAACTTCAAGAGCTTTGAAATTCCGCCGACATAAACGGGGAGCCGACTGTGCCACAGCTGTAAACATGCTCGGCGGTGAAACCGGTGAGGGGACGGGATGTAGGTTTGATAGATTCCTTCCTCCACTCCCATGCGGTTCCAGTGTCTCTAGGAAGATGAGGTTCACCGTGCTCCCGTGTCAACCAGGACCTTCGCGACGTCACAGTCGTGAATCTGTAGAGTGATTACGAGTGGGTCGAGGTGAGGGATGTCCATCCGCTTGCGTCCTTATCCGTAAAGGAGATGTAGGGATCCCTTTATGGATATACGGGTAGCGTTGTGCCGCGACGGCCTTTCGTTCGTATTCCTTGATCGCCGATATGGAATCGTCGTTATCCAGGAGCCTCCCATGATCATGCTGACTTGTCGCTTCGGTGGTGGAGGTAGGTCGTCGTGGTCGTCACGATTCCTTTTCCCAAGCGGGCTTCCGCTTTTCTGCATCCTTCCTCGGACGGGGTTGTCGTCCGCGCTTCTCCTGCTGCCCAGATTTTGGTGGTCTCGGCGGGAAGCTTTTTCCTTGGGACCTATCACCGTCCATTGGCGGGATTTCTCCTCGATGGTACATGCGCATGAGGTTGCTCATTAGGTGTTTGCAGTTTTCAGTGGCGTGGCCAGTTCCCCGTGGAACTTGCAGAAAGCTTTGGTATCGTTGTCATCTCCGAGCGAGTTGATGTCTTGTGGCATCGAAACGGCCGCTGCGTGTTCTTGCTCGGACTCATCGTCGGCTGCTGCGAACGCTGCGAGGAGAGACCTCTTCGGATCGTGTCTTCTTCGTGCCTCCATGGGTTCCTCTCTGGGTTTCGACGAGGTTGCCCTCCTATCTCCATGTTTCTCGGCGTAGAAGCGCTGGTCTTCCTCGAGGAAGATGTAGTTCCGAGAGCGGTGGAACGCGTCCTCCAGAGTCGCAGGGGGTTTTAGTGACAAATCCTCCTTAAACTTGGAGTCGTACCAGAGGCCGTTGCGGAGTGCTTCCAGCGGGACGCTATCGGGCATGTCGCCAGTATCGCGAGCTGCTTGTTTGAACCTTTCCATAAAGCTGCGCAATGGTTCGCCTTGGGTTTGCGTTGTGGTGAACATGTTCCGAGTGATTCGGGTCATGTGCATGGAGTAATGCTTCAGAAAAGCATTGGTTAGGTCGTCGAAGTTATCGATCGACTCGGCGGGGAGGTTAGAGAACCAGGTCAAGGCATCTTTCGCCATGTGCTCGACGAATACTTGACAGTAGTTGGCCTCCTTTCATCGTAAGATTTGTATTTCTCCCTCCTCATGGCGAGGTTGAACGCGGTTAGCCACTTCTTGGGGTCTTCTTCGCCGGTGTAAGAGTCGATTTTGAGTCGAACTCTTTCGTGTAGTTCAATCTGGCGGAGCCTGCGGGTGAGCGGGCTTCTTCGGGTGTCGGCGAGTGCTTTCGTCAATTCCGGAGCTGAGCTGGTGGCGCGATGAACTTTCGAATCGACCTCGTCGAGGCGACGATTCATCCGTTCGAGCTCTTGGGTGGTAAGTCGCCTGAAGTGCGCAGGACGGGGGGTTGTTCCGTCAGTGGGACTTGACGGATCTTCATCGTCTTCTCGTGCTAGGGCTTCCACCTGTTCCTGAGTCTTTTTCTGCTGTGCTCGCATTGACTCGAAACCGTCGGCGAGCGGCTTGACGAGATTCTCCATGAGTTTGAGGATCTTCTCGCTCGAGGAGGATTTCTTCGAGCTGCGGGGTTTGTCGCTCGAGGAAGATTTTCTCGAGCGGCGTGGTGCGGACGGAGGAGGGCTCTCGTCCTTTCTTGGCGGAGGGGATCGTTGCGGCGAAGTCGATCTTCGCGGCGAGACGGATCTCTGTGGCGAGAAAGATGGTTTCTTGTAGGGGCAGGCTTGTCCCTACCTTCAGCGGGTAGCGACTTGTCTATCGTGCTGGTAGACTGTCGCTTAAGTTTTCTTCTGAGGGAGACGGGCTCCCGGTGGGAGTGTTCTCTTTCGAGTTCACCATCGTTGCTAGTTCGTGAAAATCTAGATATCTTCGAGATGAATAGCGAGAAGCGTTTCCAGCCCCACGGTGGGCGCCAATTGTTGAATCCGAGATAGCACTCGTCAAGACGGGCTATCAAAGATGTGAGTTTAGGAAACTGGAACGCTTAATTCGACTCTTAGATTATCAAGAAATTACAAGAGAGCAATCTCGCTAACAAGCCTAGCGAGATTATGGTGATGAACAAGAGGATAGAGTAAAAGCTAATGTGAAAGCCTAGTGATTCTAGATGATTTCGGATCCCTTTCTCCCCAATGGGGGGTCTTCAATATATAGTGTTGATAAGTCGGCCGAATGATGAATATTCTCCTTCAGGCGAGATGGAAAACTTCCTCTTTTGCGATATGGAAAATCCCTCTTGTTTTTGGATCTCTTAAGTCGGCATGAAGATTTATTTACATTTCTCCATGGATTGTGCCTTTCTCTTCAAGTCTTGCCTTTTTCTTGAAGATGTTAGGCCTAAAATCGGATTGGGCTTTGTGACTTTACTAATGATGACGGGCTCAGGGAAATGTGCTAATTTCTCCTCTAACATTCTACACTGGTTTGTCAACTTTTACTTGGTTGCTAACCCAATTTGTACAACAGAATACAGCTTAGGGACAATTTAACTTACTTCCATTTGTATTCTAAGTTGGATAACTCCTTCTTCGTTATCTAAACGAAGATGTCCGTTATATCTTGGTTGTTTCGTCTGTACTCATAAAGGGTTTTTATGGATAACGACAAAACTACTTTACGAGGACTGATTCGAAAAGAATAATTAAGAAGAAAGATAATATTGGGCTGATACAGCATAACCAAGAACGTTCGATGCATTTACACACATACGCATACGGACGTCAGCTGGACCAAACGGAGTAAATGACGTCAGCTGAACATTCCATGTGAGAATAAATGACATTATGCCTATTGGCTAGCAAGATACTGTTTATGAAATTGAATGCTTGAAAGACTAGTTTCGTTATCAACCATCGGTCGTCACTTTGCTCAATCGGTTTGTATGTGAAGATTTAGAACGATTTTAAACCATGTCACAATTATTTAAAAATTTCATGTCTACATAAAATGTCGACAATATATATTTTGAGAAAATAGAGTTTCACAAATTCATGCCAACCAAATGTATAACTTCAAAAACAGGTAGTATCGCACCTAAGATATTGCTTCTACAAAAAAATCAAAAGTATAACTTCTGTTATTTACAACCATTTGCATGGAACGATTGAAATAATTTATAATTCCCTTGTCCATTTTGAAAAAATTAAAAGACTGTCATTTGTTAAAATGGACTAGATTTTAAAACATATATATCTTATCTAAAATGTATAGATGATCAACCGATTTTCGACCTATCCACCATTCCATGCTTCTAATAAAACACACCAACCTCTTTTATATATTGAGAAATAATCGATTTTAAATATCCCAGATTTTTAGTACGAAAACGTCCTTCTCGTATGATCTTGTTGAAAACAATAGGACTCAAGTCATTCAACACTTTGTTCCCAACTGTCAAATCATATTTTTTTTTTTTTTTTTTTTGTCGACAGCGACTCTATCTAAATCAACTCGGAGATCCAAGTTGGTGAAACAGAGTTAACATAATACACATCAGTAGGTAGAGCTCGAGCACTACGTGCTAGCTTGTCTGCCTTCGTGTTGTTTGCCCGGGGTATGTGGACGATGGTGAAAGAGGAAAATCTCGTCTTGCATATGTCAATCTCTTCAAGTAGGATAGCAAAAGCCGGCCACTCCTCTGGCTTAGACACCATCTTCACCAAATCGGAACAATCCGTCTCAAATACTATCGTTAGTTTGTTGTGCCTTAACATACACTGCATAGCCCAAATGAGAGCCTCTAATTCGGTCTGAAGTGATGATATACCTCGTCTCAGGTTACGTGTGCCCATAAGCTTGCTCCTCGTTTCCGTATTAAAATAAAACCAGCCCAGTCCGGCCCTGCAGTCTGTTTCCTTCCATGCCCCGTCCACTTGGCAACGGTCACCCGAAGTAACAATCTCCACAGAGGGTTCTAACCTTGGGCCTCCCATATCTTGCTTTTCTTGGGCTTTTTTCCAAGCCAATGCCTCCCCTGTCGCTTTCGTAATAATATCATAAGGGTCCCAATCTATGTTGCTTAACACCTTATCATTGCGGGATTTCCAAATATACCAGACTAGCCAAGGAAAAATCTCCATCCTGTCATCTTGTGGCAGTTCCCAAAAAAGGTGAGCCAGATTTCCAAAAATACTTCCCGTTGGGAACTGGGAAGGGACCGTTGGAATTGGCGATAATGCCCAGACTTGAAGTGCAGGAGGGCATTCAAACAGTGTGTGATTCACTGTTTCTGGCGCCATTCCACATCGCATACATTGGGGGTCTATTCGAATTCCCCGACTTTTGAGCCTATCCCCTACCGCTATACAACCCATCAGAGATTGCCAAAGGAAGTGTTGTAGTTTTTGAGTACATTTCACTTTCCAAACCTGTGCCTGAAGGCTCCTTGTGTCCGGCCCAAAAACAGGGGGGATACTGTCCTCCCAAGTTTTTTGTGCCAAAGCATATCCTGATTTTACCGTATATTTCCCTGTCCGCGTGAAGAACCATCCCATTGAGTCCGGTCGGGAAATGTGTGATGTAGGAATCCCAAGAATGAGAGATATATCCATCGTGTCAAATAATTGATTTAATAGTGGTAAATTTCACGTTGTTGTACTGGGATTAATTAATTCATTCACCCGGAGGTGGGGGAAAAAAGTAATCCCAGGTCCTGTGGCTGGCCTCGGGCAAGAAGCTGGAATCCATGGGTCCTCCCGACGGAGATTGATAACCCTGAACCAACTCTTTTAATAAGTCCTTTGTGAACCAGAGGTCGAGCCGAGACTATACTCTGCCAACCATAGGAAGGGGAGTAAGATCGGTTGATTTCCAAAGGGGTGGAATTGCGATAATACCGCCCTTTGAAAACCCGTGCAAATAAAGACTCCGGATAATCCATGAGTCGCCATAACTGCTTTGCAAGTAAAGCCGTGTTAAAATCCTCAATAACCCTGAAGCCCAGGGCCCCATCCTTTTTATGGCGACAAAGTTTCTTCCATGCCAGCCAGTGCATTCCCCGCGATTGCCCATTGTTGCTCCACCAGAAATTTGATGCCGCGCTTGAAAGCTTGTTCGTAATTCCTTTAGGTAGCCGAAAACATGACATGACATACATGGGCATTGCCGAGGCGACTGACTTGATAAGAACCTCTTTTCCCCCCTTGGATAGCCATTTGGAGTTCCATCCGTTAATTCGTTGGTTTTGCTTTTCAACCAGAAAACTGAAAATCTTTGAATTACCTGGGAATCCCCCAGACTCCGGGATTCCCAGGTAATTCCCGACTCCCCCCACTGCCGTGATCCCCAGGATTTGGTGAACCTCCTGTCTCACCCCTGGGTCCACATTATGTCCAAATTGTACAGAAGACTTCCCAAAATTAATTTGTTGTCCAGAGGTGGCTTCATACGCTTTAAGAATCTGAATGAGGACCTGACACTCATCCCCTGTTGCTTTGCAGAAAAACAAGCTATCATCACCAAATAGGAGGTGGGATACTGCCGGGCACGCCCGAGCCACTTTTAATCCCGTTATCTTCTTTATCTCTTCCACCTTCTTTATATTTGCTATCAGCACCTCCGTACATAGAATAAAGAGATATAGGGATAACGGGTCCCCTTGCCTTAATCCCCGATGAGGGGTTATTTTTCCTTTTGGTTGTCCATTAATTAACACCTTATACTTAACTGAAGTTATACATTGCATCATCAAAATAATCCAATGGTCTGCAAAACCTATTTTCCTCATTAAAGCCTCCAAAATTTCCATTCAACCCGATCATACGCTTTACTCATATCTGTTTTTATTGCCATAAATTTCCCTTTACATGTTTTGTTCGTACGGAGCCCATGGAACATTTCCTGGGCTATAAGAATATTGTCCGAGATCAGGCGGCCCGGAACAAAAGCCGACTGTGTTTCCGATATTAACCTTGGTAACAAGACCTTGAGCCTCTGACACAAGACTTTGGAAATGATCTTATACCCCACATTACACAAACTAATTGGTCGTAACTCCGTCATCCTAGTCGGTCTGCCCGTCTTAGGGATTAGACAGATATGTGTCAGGTTTAATATGTCGTCAAAAGTGCCCGAGCAGAGGAAATTGTTAACCATCCTAAGAACATCCGACTTTACAATGTGCCATGACCGCTGAAAAAATAGCGCCGTCATACCGTCTGGCCCTGGTGCTTTCTCTGGGTGCATCATAAATAGTGCCTCTCGCACCTCGGCTTCCGTCGCTTGTCGAGTCAACACTGCATTCTCCTGTGATGTAACCCACTCCGACAGATTTTCCAAAATTTCCGTGAAGTCCTCCGGTGTGGTTGAAGTAAATAGTTTGTCAAAATAGCTGACCGCTATTTTCTCCACCTCTTTCTCCCCATCCACCCAAATGTTAGCCTCGTTATGGAGACCAACTATTCTATTAATTGCTCTACGCTGTTTTGTCGAAGCGTGGAAAAATTTTGTATTCAAATCCCCATCTCTTAACCATAGATTCCGGCTTTTCTGCTTCCAATAGTCCTCGTCATCTCTGTAGGCCTCCTGTAATTTATTCGTAATGTCTGTAAGTTCCTCCGGGGTACTGTTATCATCATTTTGCACCACCTCCAAAGCTTGTTGTAATTCCACTATCTTCTGCTTTCCATATGGCTGATTCTCTTTCCTCCAAACCGATATTTCGTGTCGGCAATTATATATTCGATCCATCAGTTCCGGCTCACCCTCCCCCCGAGCGGCACCCCATCCGTGCTCAATCGAGTCAAGTAATCCTTCCATACCAATCCACCGTTTATCAAACCGAAATTGTTTTCGCCGTCTCGTTATTTTTGAATCTAAGGTAGCCAAAATGGGCATGTGATCTGATCCAATCATCGGTAGATATTCAACATGGGAAACCGGAAACAGGTCATGCCACCCCTCTGTTGCCAATGCCCTATCTAACCGACACCGAACTATCTTTCCCCGTCTTCGTCCCCGCCAAGACAACTTGTTACCCCGACTCGGAAAATCCACTAGCCCACAATCACTTATCATCAGATTAAAAGGCACAAACGAGGACGGTGGACGTAACGCTCCGCCTTGTTTCTCATGATTTCCTGTTATTTCATTAAAATCCCCTATAAGGAACCATGGTTCTGTTCTGGTTGTCCCAATTCTTGTTATTCTTTCCCATACATTATCGCGAAACTTAACCACCGGGTCTCCATAAACAAAGGACATAAAGACCAAATTACCCTCATGACGAGCCTCGATGTCAATGATCCTCTTAGTTGAGCAGATGATATTCACATCAGAAGCATTGTTATAGAATAAAACTAAACCCCCACTCGCCCCACATGGCTCCACAGTGAACACTCTGTCATATCCAAAGTGAAATTGAAATTGTTGAACAAAAGCAAAACTTTGTTTTGTCTCAGAAAGAAACAGAAACTCAGGTTTGAACTTCCCCCAAACTTCCCGGAGGTGACTAATTGTGTAAGGATTACCTAATCCTTGGGAATTCCAACTAAGTACTCTCATGGAATGTCTCGTTGTTGTTTTGTGCAAGGTATACGTCCAATACCCCCGCGAGTACTATCTCCCATCATCCAAGACCCTAGCTCCATGTCCCGACCAGCAACCTCCTTGTTTTTGTTTTCGTCACCCACTTCAACGTAGCTAGTTAACTCCACCCGACCCACTTCCAACTGTCTTTCATTATTATCCACTCCACCCTTGTCCTCTAACCCATCCCCCGGCCTAGAAATCTTCTCGACCAGCCCCCAACCATTCCAAAGGAAAAGCGTCCAAATCCCTCTCCCACCTAGGATCGAAACCGGTAACGAGACTTTTATCCAAAAACCAAAAGCAACCCATATGACCTGGTCACAATGAACATGCGGCCCCTTATCCAACCCGGCCCAATAACATAGCCTCCGTGTGCAACGTTTTTTTACTATAATAACCAATCCCACCCATTTAAGGTACCTATAATGACCAGCATGAGAAGTCCATATAACCCTTACAGAAGTATACTGATGAACCTTATGCCACCACCAACGAGACTTAGCTCCGTGATCCGAGAACACAATATAACGGGAACTCAACCTCTCTTTATTATGAATAAAAAACACAGCATTGGATACAACACAAGGCATTGCCGTAACCCACTGGTCAAAAACAAAAGCACAGTAATCATACTGGCTGAAAACAAGACATAACCAATAAAAGCAATAAACTGGAAAACCCACCAAAACTCCTTCCCAGCTCCACCGGGAGTGTATTATTATAAGACCGTTTTGCTTACTCATTCTGCATTCGATTTTCCGCCGCCCTGACCCTCATGGCCATCCTTTCCTGGCTTTGGCTCTATCTTGTCTCCCATGCCAATCCTTCCCGATCCTTTCTTGCGTGGCATTTTGGCAACCTGCGCCAACCTCCTCAACGCTCCTCCTCCAATCCCTACATTTGTTCTGAAGACCTTCTTCTTGGCCCCCACCTTACGCTCTCCTGGTCTTCCTTTGGTACCACCTTGCCCACCTTGCGGAACACGAGGTTCCTCACACAGGTTCTGTCCTCCCTGCACGTCCTGCATTATGTCATCCAAAACAACATCATTCTCCTCCTCCGGAAGCATAACCTGAGAATCCTCCCTCTGCCCTCCGTTCTCCTCCTCCTCTTCCCCCAGCTCTCCCTCCTCCACCAGAAGATCTTCAAGAAGGAGTTCTTCATCAGATGGGGTCATGTCCTCTGCACCCCCAGGCGAGACCTCCCCTGTATCTGAGAAACCCTGGGATCCATCCACCTCCCGTTCACTTCCCTCACCTCCCTCGTTCGTATGGACAGAGGGAAGAGCAGCTAACTCCACAGGTACCTCCACAGTCTCCGTAATCATCATCGTAGATGACTCAGTTTCTTCCTCCTCAAATGCAAGAGACCGGCGTACCTTCTTAGCAGAGTGAACAGTGGGGCAAATGGTACGGGATTGGCCAGCATCTTGACTCTTCGCCTTATCTCCAGCCTTCATTTTAGCCTCATGAGCTACATCCTGTTCCTCAAGAGAACACTTCGGGCCCCTCACAGCTCCATCATAACGCTTCTGCATCTCCTTCTTTGGCCTATAAGTGGGGCCACCTCGATGGTGGGAAGAGCCTTCTCCATACGGCACCTCTGGCCTCGACCTTCCCCGGTTTTCATATTGTTTATGGCTGGCCTCATCTCTATCCACCATCTTGCCTTTCCCCTTGTAATCTACCTTTCGCTCCTCTTGGTTGTTTCTTCCCATATTCCCAGTAGAGCTTTGAACCGCACCCTTGTAGCTCAATGCTCTCGCCTCTGTCTTCTCCTCTCTCCGCCTGGTTCTGTCTCTCTCCACTCGGTGTGCGTAGAGTAGAGGACACTGATCCACGTCATGACAGAGGCTGAAACACTTTGCAAAAACCAAATAAACGCTCATACCGTAAGAGAAGCTGAATTTCACGTCCTCCTTTAGCCTCCAGCGTGGTCTCAAAGTGAAGGGGTTGGAACCCATTAATACTGACCTGAACTCGACCACCCTCTACATCCACATCTCTCACCTCTCCCATGGCGTCACCAATGCTACGCAACGTGAGTTCCGCCCAAACTTGAAGCAAGCGGGAGCTGCAGTACCCTGACCCAAAAAGTTATTTCGAAGGGATAAAACGGGTCAAACTCCGGCTGCCATCTCACCAACGACACCATCCAGGAATCGAAATGGAAAGGCTCCATTTTCAACACCTCGATGATGTCCGCTTCCTCATCAAAATCAAACTGGAATCTTCCCAAGCCTAAGTCCGCTCCCGTCACACGATTCTCCATCTTCCAAATCCGTGGAAAGATGATGATCAGCGCCTTCACATCCTGCCTCTGTGGGTTCATGCATCTTCCAATCAACGTCTTTGAGTATCCCTGGATCAGCTCCGAATCGTCAAAATCAGGAAGCTTGACTCGCAATCTTGGTCTCAGTGTCTCTTTCCCTTTGTTTGAGCCACCGGACTTGAGAAGACTTGCCTGAGACATCTCTCCTTCTCTCCCAAAAAGTAAAGAATCAGTAGAAAAGAAGGCAAAATGAAAGATGGTGTGATGAATAAGGTTCGGGCTAGCCCGCCTATATATATGAATCTCCTCCATGCCTCTCCCTTGGACCATCATAATTGCGTAAATCATATTTCAGTAAAGACAAAAGATAGTGCAGTGCACATATCAAGAAGGACGTAAAATTTAAATTATTTAATTTCTACTAACGCCGTTCACTTCTATCTTTTGTTTGTGTATTTTATGAGTAAACGAATACTTTTTTATATCTAATTAGGTCAAAATGGAAAAACCTCATAATAGTATTACATATGTTTAATTAAAAGTATGACTTTGTTGTGATGGTTTCAAAATTTTCAAAATTCAAATTTGAATGTTAAGTTATAGGTTTGAAAGTTTTGAAGATTTGATTTATTTGTATCATATGAGATGTGAACTATTATTGGATACTTAACATTTTTACCAAAAAAAAAAACTATTATCGGATTCTTTTTTTCCGTCTTTGACCGGTTTATAAGAGCATCTCCAAGCCAGTCCCATATTTCATCTTTATTGCCATTTTGGAGTCAATTTTGCTCCAACCCAACCCCATTTTCAATCTTAAAATGGCAAAATTCCATACTTTTTCCCAAATTGAGGTTGATCCCATTTTCATTTCCATTTTGGAGCTGAAGTTTTTAAATTATATAACAGTCTTTGAAGTTTTAGATTATTTCAGTTTATATATAAGTAATTATTTTGATGTTTATTTTTACCCTAAAATACAATAACATATATTTAATAGGAAATTTGATTATTTAAGCTAATAATAAATTTAAAAAGAAAGAAATTTTTTCATAATTAATTTAAATAATTATAATAAATTGTGAAATTTTTGAAGAAAAAAAAATTATGGGGCAATTGGTAATATATATAAATATATAATGTAAATTTAGTAATTAATCAAAAGTTTTGAAGTAAAAAATGAGGCAATACATTGGAGCAAAACCCAACTCTATTTTGAGATTTCTTCATTTTGGAGTCAAATATGAGGCAATACATTGAATGCCCTAAACACACACGACTGAGCTCGAGAGGAAAACATGTGGTATTAGAGGACCACCTGGCGGACACAAAATAACAGAGGTATAATGGTTTCTTTGAGTAAAAATATTAATAGTGGGCCATTAAAAAAATTTACTAGTGAATTTACTTCTAAAACCTATCACCGTATATCCATCAATTTTAACTGGATGAAATTTTTTAAATGTTTTCAGGAAAAAAAAAAAAAATTTTGCAAAAACTATCGTTGTGCTGATTCGTTTCTTTGCAAATGAACATATTAATTTTATTTTCAGTATGCCACTCTAGACTCTAGTTAGATTCAGGGCCTGATTGGTTGTGGCTGTAACTTTACTTTTTTTGCTGTAGAATTAATACTGTAGAAATTTTGGCTGTGATTCTAGATTTTAGTGCTGTAAGATTTTTTATTGTAGATTGTGTCATTAAATATAACATTAAAACAAAAAAGTTAAGATATAGAAATAATAGATTAAAAAATAAATGTTGAAAGATTAATAAGGAAAGAGAAAAAAGAAAATTCTAAGAGCACTTAATTTGGTGCTCTAGAAAAATTGATTTCCAAAGCCACGGAACTTCCATAAATAAAAAAAATTGCTCTGTGTTTCAAAAATGGAAAGAGATGGAATGAGAGCGTGATTGGTAATTTTGTATTGCTGTAGAGAGATTTAGGGCTGTGCAGAGCAACCACAGCCCTTACCAATCATCCCCTCAGTGACTGATACAATTTTTATATATTTTGTGACCAGAGTCAAGGAGTAGGAACGAATTTGCAGAAATGTACGGTTTAATTTTGGGTTTGGCGATGTTTTAAAACGCTGATTTTTTTTTTTATAAAAAAAAAAACTTGAATGTAAAATTAATTTAAACCAATAACGATTTTATAAAGAATGCAACTTATTTTTAGATTCAAACAGATGGTATATTAAATTGAAGATAGATTACAACCAGAGATTCAAGTGGACGGAAACCGTAGACTTTTAATTTCTAATCTTTTGGAAGACACGACTATGTACAGCCTACAGGCATGTAGACAAATAACTCTTTACGTATGAAGAGTCTTACAATACACTCCTGTGAGTTCATATTAAAACCCTAATTAAGTACATAAGACATAGGAGCTTGTAGCAAAATGTTAAGCACATAACATATAGGAGTTCATATATATTAAAACCCTAATTAAGTAAAAACCCTTCAGCACATAACACATGAGCTTTATTATAGTAATATCTTAAGCATAAAACACAACCAAAACGAGAAAAACAAGAAGACAGGCCATGCATATATATATATAAACCATGGCTTCTCATAGGAGACTTCAACCAGAGCTTGACATATATGATTGAAGCTGGCGGAATTGGTAAGTAACCTAATCAAGCTGATCCCCAGTATCTTCATTGAAAAAGCTCCAAAGTTGGCCAAAATCAAACTTTGACGACGATGAGTTCATCAAAGAAGTACCTGCCTCGTCAGTTGCCATCGCTGCCGGAAACAGTACCGCACCTGCCCCTCCGGTCTCCACCAGCAAACTCTTCCACCACATACTATCTCCATCCATTACATTTTCCACAAGCTCATGTTTCTCCTTATCTTTGTTACATGTGATACTATTATCTATGTCAACTTCTGGCATGGCATTGACGAGGCTGAGACCGTTGTTGTTGAAGAAAGATCGAGGTTGAGGCTTTATGACATCGATTTTTGGGGCTGGTGTGGCCGCTGAGCCAGTAGGGTTTCCTGCTTCCATCTTGGTCTTACAAGATTGGTCTGGATTCTTACTCAAATGGGTGTTCCAGTAATTTTTAATGTCATTAGCGGTCCGACCAGGTATTCTACCAGCAATCAAGGCCCACCTAAGCATTTTTCAACGATATACATGTATGACTTAGTAGTACATCATAAACTAGGTCAAAACTAAATTTGAAGCTTCAGAAATAAACCTTTTTCCTAGAAGCTTATGAAGGCGAAAAAGAAGATCAACTTCATCAGAGCTAAGTTTTCCTTTCTTGATACTTGGCTTCAAGTAGTTTAACCATCTTAGTCTACAACTCTTCCTGCACCGCATAAGCCCTACAAAACCAGAGATTTAACCTCTATAAATTATCGATCGGGAGACTGCTTTTGACTATTCTTCTATATTTAGTCATTTAGAACAAATGTACAGAAATGTAAATGATGTACTTGCATAAGCTTTTGAGTTTTTTTCTTACTGAAAGACCAATGAAAGTGTTTAAGCACCAGCTTGTTAGCACAACGTTAATTATTAAAACATGTCTTACAATTATTATTATTTTTAAATTACCATAAACTAGATGTACGGCACGTAGAGTAATAAACTATATTATAGTAAAGAGAGTATAATATTTCCAACATAAATCTTGGTGATCATATGAATTTTTTTTATCTTCAACCCTTTGCGGATGTGTCTTTATTAAAACATGTCTTAAGAAGAGATAAATAAGTATATTATAGTGATTAATTATCTGTGTAAATAACGTACCAGTTCTCGAAGAAACTAGGTTCCATTTTCCTTCTCCATACCTATCAACGCACTGCCTCAAGAGACTATCTTCTTCAGCAGTCCATGCACCTTTTCTCAACTTATCTGACGGAGCATCCATAGAGAGATTAAGTGTAGATATTAAAACTATCTAACCTAAACGACAATAAACGTAGTGTACAGTGTGGCTTTTCAAATCCTTGTGAGGGTTTAATGAGAGTGTAAGTTTGTGTGTGCATATACGAATATATATATACACACAACTGAATGCATAGGGATACGACGTGCGTGTTTAATGTCCACAATATTGTATTATCTTTAGATTGTATTTTATATTTTGGTATAGTTAATCTTTGTTCCCAAAAGTAATAGATGTTTTTAGAGGCATATATGCATTTAAGCAATAGGACAAAAAAGTGGATAAGCTTTTAAGATAATAATATGAAAGAGTCTTACTCATAGTCATAGGCGATAACAGTTTGGGTCTGATATACCGTGAGCCAGGTTAAGAGGAGAGTGACCGTGAGATGCGCTATTGTTTGTCTTTTCATGAGAAGTCCGATAAATTTGTGGGGTTATAGCGGTTTCCAAATTATTGCTTGGGCTCTTCTTGAAAAATTATTAAATTCTGTTTTTGTCAAAAAATAAAATTATTATACATAAAACTAACAAGAATATAAACTACTAGATTGATGTTTGCTATATATTTTGAGAACTATATTAAAAGCTGAGTGAATTTATTACAAAGTTAGTATGCTAACAACCTTAACGAACTATTTGTTAAAACAAATTTATTAAACCATAAAATTTATAACTATTTGAAAAAGAAATTCGTAATATATATAGCTACTTAAATTTCGTGAAAAAATGTAACCTTATAGTTATAGGTTGCTTAGCAGTTTAATACTACGTTTCTTTGTCACACAATGAGAGTTGAATTATATCATTTGTATTCTCTATTATATCTTACCTAATTGGCTTTAGATCAACTGGAAAAAGAGCCTAGACAAATCTTAATGGTTATAGGATTAAGTGCCACTTGAGATGAAGCCAATATTACATAATATATGAAACAATCAACATTTTTTTTAATAAATATTAATAATTCTAGCGAAGGTCTTAAAATAAATTAAATAAATAAAATATCAATAACAAATAAATCAGCTCAGCGGAAGCAAATAATAATTAAACAAGTCTAGCAAAATAATGCAAAACAATAAAACAGTAAACATCCTATCATCCCCCTCTTCAGCCTTGATTCCGCGATCACACAAATCTTTTACCTGCAACACATTGGAATGGAGTTGCGTAAGTATTTAATAAATACTTAGTGAGGCAATCACTCTGCCTACGAGCCATTTACGCAATTTACTAGATATTTAATAATATTTATAAATCAATAATTATTTAAACCTCAATAATTATTAAAACTTTAATTTCTCAATTATTAAATAATTCTCATAATTAAATAATAATTTTCATATTTTAAAATAATTTAATAATTATTTTAAACCAATTAATTAATTAAATCCAAATTAAATCAATTAATTCCATTAAACCAATTAAATTCAATTAAACCAATTAAACCAAGATAAACCAAATCAAATCAATTAAATTCAATTAAACCAGATTAAACCACACAAACACACAATTCATCACATGAAACAACCAAAATATCATGAAATAACAATTAAACACATAAACTCATCAAGAACAACCACAAACCAAATCTAATCTAGCAAATCACGGACCCACAGTCATGCACTCACCTTGACAATGATTGAAACTGAAGGAAAAAGGAAACACGATGAACAGTGCCGAATCGCGACGATGAACAGTCGATGAACAGTACCGATGAACAGTGCCGATGAACAGTAAAACGAAAATCTCTCCAAAAACTCCACTTTTCTCCTCTGCAGCCTCTGAACTCGAAAATTCTCCAAAGAGAAGACGGCTGCACTCTTTAAACTTGATTTTAGGGCTTTCTCCACTAAACCGACCCAAACCAATTCACTTAAATTGAACCGACAAAATTCCCAATTTTTGGTTTATGGATGTTACAACTCTCCCCCACTAAACTGGATTCGTCCTCGAATCCCAACGCAAACGTCACAAAGACCACAAAACCCGACCTCGCAAGGCCGCAACACGGAGATCCTCACCTGATCCCCGAGACAAACGTCAATCTTATGTCATAAGCACGTTCCAAGAAATTTCACTCCTAACTCATCATCCAAACACACAAACCACTTGTACTGAGGCCCACTTGCACCCAGACAAGTCCACACCGGTCCGCACTGAGGCCCACTTGCACCCAGACGAACCCGAAACATACTGAGGCTTATACTGAGGCCTACTTGCACCCAGAGAGTCTGCCAGAGAACCAGAAGTCTCCAAAAACATGATGAGTTATTCAGGATCGCAATCCTTAGAGTAAAAATTCCGGAAAATGTCTATAACCATAAGATTAGACCGTCTCACAACCAAAAACTGGTCAAACATGTGTAACATCCGAATACCATTTCACAACACAAGGCAAAAATGTATATCGTTACAACGAAAACGAAAATACAATAACACCAAAGCCAATAACAACTGAGGCTACAAAGATGAAATAAGCTCACTCCTCGACCTGCTTGTCGAACCACTTCCTGAACTTCAACTTCATCTTTGCCTCTGGCTCCCAAGTCTCCTCTGTAGAACCACTGCAATCCCACAAAATCCTCAGTAAGGGAATCCTCTTGTTCCTCAGAACCTTTTCCCTCCTCTCTAAAATCCTCACAGGCACTGCCGGCACTGTCAAATCTGGCTGAAGATCCTCTGGAATCCTAGCCACTAACTCCTCTGTAGGGTGAAGACACTTCCTCAGCATCGACACATGAAAAACCTTGTGAAAGGCTTTCATAATCTCAGGCAACTCCAGCCTGTAAGCCAATGGCCCAACTCGCTCCACTACTGGAAACGGACCCATAAAACGCGGACTCAGCTTGTTCTCTGCTATGGATCTGTTAGGACCCCTCAACATAGCCATCTTGAGATAAACTCTATCTCCAACCTGAAACTCAAGCTCTCGTCTGCGTCTATCTGCATAACTCTTCTGCCTATCCTGAGCCTCCTTCATGTTCAGCCTCACAACACGAACCTTCTCTGTCGTCTCCTGAACATAAGTAGCTCCATACATGCTGCGCTCCCCCACTTGGGTCCAGCATAGGGGTGTCCTACATGGCCTCCCATACAAAGCCTCAAATGGAGCCATGCCAATACTCGCCTGAAAGCTGTTGTTGTATGCAAACTCAACTAAGCTCAGGTGATCTGCCCAATGGCCACCCCAATCCAACACACACATCCTCAGCAAATCCTCCAAAGTCTGAATAGTCCTCTCTGACTGACCATCTGTCTGCGGATGATAAGCTGTACTCAGATGCACCTTAGTGCCCATCTCTGCCTGAAACGCCCTCCAAAACTCTGAAGTGAATCTGGGATCACGGTCTGACACAATACTAGCTGGCACTCCATGCAGCCTCACAATCTCTCGCACAAACTTCCTAGCCAAGACAGCAGCTCCATCTGTCTTCTTGATGGCCAAGAAATGTGCGGACTTAGTCAACCGATCCACAATCACCCAGATAGCATCGAAAGTCCTCGAAACAGGTAGTCCAACCACGAAATCCATCGTAATCCTGTCCCACTTCCACTCTGGAATGGGTAAACTCTGCAAAAGACCACCCGGAACCTGATGCTCTGCCTTCACCAAGGCACAAGTGTTGCACTTCGCAACCCAGTCTGCTACATCCCTCTTCATCCCGACCCAATGATAGTACCTCTTGAGGTCATGGTACATCTTGGTCGCTCCCGGATGAATGGAAAACTTGCTCGCGTGAGCCTCTCCCAAAATCTGATGTCTCAACTCCACATCCTTAGGCACACAAACTCGCCCACGAACCAAGATAGTCCCATTCGCAGAGACCTCATACTCAGAACCAGTCACTCTCGTCGCATCCAGCAAACTCTGATCACTCTGCTGAGCAACTCTGATCCTGCTAAGTAGATCCGCCCAGTGTTCAAAAAGCCGTTAGGCGTTAGTCGGGCGGTCAGTCTGGAATTTCTGATTTTTGAAAAATCGGAAATAAAACAGAGATTAGTAGATGAGAAATTTTACTACATTTTTATAATTTTATGAGTATTTTTATATAGAAAATAACATATAAAGATGAAAATCATATATTTCAATATTAGTTAAACATTTTTCCCATTACACATCTAATATAAAAGAAAAATTTAGCTCCACTCACAAATTATATATGTTGTCTTAAAAATATTAAGAACATACAAAAATTATTAAAAGAACTATAAATTTTAAATTGTCCTTATGTTCTTCATAGATCAAGTAATGAACATATTGTAGACTATTAAATGTGCTAGTTATGTATTAATAGTGCTAATCAAACTGCTGAAAATAAATACCCACATACGAAACCAAACATACAAAACCAATATAGTTACAGAGAGCAAATATCAACGAAATTGAGCCACAATTTACCAAACTTTCACATTTTGGTCCAAACAAAGTTATTATAAACCAACAATTTTACTTGGTCAATTCATGGTTGACCAAATAGTAGCGCTTTATGGAAATCGCCTCGGTTAGCATGCGAGTCCGATTTTGCAGCGACTAATCGGCGAACGCGTCGAGTTTTCGAACACAGAATCCGCCTGATCATCTGCCTCTAAACCCAAAGGCTCCTGCGAAATGGCACACAAACACAAAGTACTGATCTCGCCAACTAGAGACTCCACATCTCGCTCAACTGCGGAATCATACCTCCGTCTACTCAACGCGTCCGCCACTAGGTTAGCCTTGCCCGGATGTTAGTTAATGTTCACATGATAGTCCGCCAAGAACTCAACTCAGCGCGTCTGTCTTGCGTTCATCATCGGCTGAGTGAAGATATGTTGTAAACTCTTGTGATCTGTGAAGACCTGCACTGTCTCACCCAGCAAGTAAGACCTCCAAATCTTCAGCGCAAAGATCACTGCTCCCAACTCCAAATCATGTGTAGGACGGTTACGCTCATAGCCCTGCCACTGTCTCGAAGCATAAGCTATCACTCTGCCCTCCTGCATCAGCACACAACCAAGTCCAATGCTTGAAGCATCTGTATACACCATATAAGGCTTCCCGGGTAACGCCAACACAGGTGTAGTAGTCAACATCTCCTTGAACTGACTAAAACTCTCCTCACACTCAGCTGACCAAATAAACGGGACATCCTTCCCGGTCAACTTCGTCATCGGCTGCGACATGGTAGCAAACCCCTTGACGAACCTCATGTAGTATCTTGCCAAACCCAGAAAACTTATGATCTCTGTGGCACTACTAGGTCTAGGCCAATCTCTGATAGCCTCAATCTTAGCCGGATCCACAGAAACTCCCTCTGCAGAAACAATGAATAACAATTCTAGCGAAGGTTTTTAAAATAAATTAAATAAATAAATATCAATCACAAATAATTCAGTTCATCGGAAGCAAATAAATAATTAAACAAGTCTAACGAAACAATGCAAAATAAATAAAAGCAGTAAACATCCTATCATCCCCTCTTCAGCCTTGATTCCGCGATCACACAAATCTTTTAACTGCAACACATTGGAATGAAGTTGCATAAGTATTTAATAAATACTTAGTGAGGCAATCACTCTGCCTACGAGCCAGTTACGCAATTTACTAGCAATTAAAATAACATAATACTAATTATTATAAACCTCAATAATTATTGAAACTTTAATTATTAAGTAATTTCCATACTTAAATAATAATTTTACATATTTAAAATAATTTAAACTAATTATTTTAAACCAATTAATTAATTAAATATATATAACTAATTAAATCCGAATTAAATCAATTTCATTCCATTAAACCAATTAAATTCAATTAAACCAAAATAAACCAATTAAATCAATTAAATTCAATTAAACTGGATTAAACCATACAAACACTCAATTGACCACATAAACAACCAAAATACCTTGAAATAACAACCAAACACATAAATTCATCAAGAACAACCACAAACCCAAATTGAATCTAGCAAATCGCGGACCCACATTCATGCACTCACCTTGACAATGGATTGAAACTGAAGGAAATAGGAAACACGATGAACAGTGCCGAATCACGACGATGAACAGTGTCAATGAACAGTACTGATGAACAGTATTCCGATCCAACACCAAAACTCGAAAATCTCTCCAAAAACTCCACTTTTCTCCTCTGCAGCCTCTGGACTCGAAAATTGTGCCAAAGAGAAGACGGATGCACTGTTTTAAACTTGATTTTAGGGCTTTCTCCACTAAACCAGCCCAAACCAATTCACTTAAATTGAACCGACAAAATTCCCCATTTTTGGTTTATGGATGTTACAGTATGGTTTTGGGTCTAGGAAATATACGGACTTCGAATCATGACCTTGTGGTAGTTAAAAAAAAAAAAGAGAGAAAAAAAATCTTATCAAACTGTCTTCTACAAAAGTTTCTGAAATGCTCAAAAACGCAAAATTACCATACCATTTCTGCGAATTCTTTATAGCAAGATTGAAAAACGTGTTTCTGCATTATAAAACTGGTTTATGCTAACATATTTTGAAAACGCTTTTTAGTGACTTCTGTAAACACTATTTTCAGCGATTTTCACTTATTAATGTGATGAGAGCTTATGATGGAAGAATTATTATTTACTCTCATGATTACAATGGTTACAATAATTGCCTTTATATAGAAGACTCAATTAACCTAATCATCTAGGTGAAAGAATCATATTATCATAATTACAAATATATTCATAATATTAACATTAATAACATGGATCTTCTAGATCCTTCTACACGCCCCCTCAAGCTCAAGCCGGTTATGAAGATTTGACGAAATTAACGGTGTGAGATTGATAACAGAGTCTAGCATGGAAGAGTGGAGGGGAGAGCTGATTCTTCCCAGCTTTGACATAGACAAGTGGAATAGGGGAGAACCACGTGAGATGGAGATCCGGTGATGGCATGGTGGAGACGGAGATCTAGGCATAAGCGGACGATCTCGCATGGAGCCATGGAAAAACATCTTCACGAATAAAATTTTTTTTTTTTTAAAGAAAAGAAAAATAAGCTTTGAAGAAAAGGGAGAATGAAGAGGAAATATGTAAACTGCAGAAAACATTTTTTTTTTTTCAGAATAAGTAATTAGAAAAAAAATAGAGATAGAGAATAGAGATTTAGGAAGGTATAAAGAAGTGAGGAGAAAACAAGAAAACTTTTTTTTTTTTAATATGAGAAAGATGATTCAGAGGTCTATGAAAACTTGAATAAGAAGCACAATTCCTTAGATTTAGAGGTTCATGATGAACTTGAATAGAGAAGCACTAGGCTTGATAAATAACAAAATCAAAGAAGCTTAATAGCTTAAAAGAAAAGAAAAGTTTGATTGTTAGATCAAAACTTTTGAGCAACTGATGCGGCATCTATGGGATGAGTACAAGTAATAATTCCCTAAGACAACTAGTGTTGCAAGTGCACAACATATAATTGTAGTATTTAGGGGTCGAACCACAAGGGATTGGATTTCACACATTACATAATCATAGAGTTTAAATGACTAAGCTAAATCAAAAGATGCAAGGGTTTGTGTTTGTTTAGAACACGCAAAAGAAATAACAATGCAATTCTATACAAGCAACATTATTGAACTATTGAAAACTCTTTTGAAAACATGAGCCAAGTCGATTGAAAAGTTTGTTAAAATCCGATTCTTTTGAACTCAAAACACTAAGGAAGGATTATTCCACTTTCGTGGTTCCAATCCCCTATGTCTCTTAAACCAATGGGCTCAGCTTTCGTTGGTCATTGTAGAGTGAGACATGCATTACATCCAAGTAATGATTGTTCACAAAACTCTTTAGGTCTACTTTCGTAGCCTAAAACGATTTGCCCATCAAATACTATATCCGGAGATATAACAAGCTTTTGGAGAGTATATCAACCTAAAATCAAGTCACTAGTTAGCTACTCTAGCAACAGCATTAAGCATAAATAAAGATGGAGAACCATAGGGTTTCCCCTTTTAACAATCGATTTTCGATGGCCATTATATCACGTCCTCATTGGAAGGATCCATAATTCAACAATGAGTCATAGATAGTAGATGAAGTCTCATGAATCCTTAGAGAGAGAGGCGGCGGAATATGACTAAACCGCCTCACCCTTAGGGAGAAATCTCTACTTCTAGACTATATAAATTGAAACATGCAAGCTATATACAAATGCAAAAGAAGAAAAGAAAGAAGAAGGAGACCACCTAAGTGGCTCCGAACTTTATTGAATAAGTGTTTCTTGTTATGCGGCTGGTGATTCTTATTACAAGAGGCTAAAAGCAAGTATATATAGGTAGAGAGCGGGTCTAGGTCGGCAAAGTTGAGCGCGCGCAGAAGAGGAAAGTTTCCATTTCTCTTTAGCCGCTTGAGCTTGCTCTCCAAGTTCTTGAATGGGCCGCGTTCAGGCCAATGGAAGCTTCTGGATTGAGTTATGCTAGTGTCAAGACGAGCCAAGGCCTTGGGCGCGGTATCTCGGGCCTCTTGATCCATCAAAGTCTCCATGGGCTCTACTTAGGCGCTCGTCGGACATGTCTTGGTAGAAAATAAGTTCCGGTCCAACGAGTGATCCAAATGACCTCTTTCCACTTCGCCGCGGGTCATGACTCAAATATCTATCTTTCCATATAAGAATCATGACTTTTGGACGTCGGGAAGGCATGAATATGCGGTCGTACTTCGGATGCTCCGGTTTGGTCTTTAGCGAGAAATGTAGATTTGGTGCTCTAGACTTGGGAACTTGGTGATTTGACTCTTTTTGCTCCATTTTGGACTCTTCTTTGCTATTTTGACCTGAATGATGCTCAAAACCAGAATATACAAGAAAACTACCTCTTGGGCTTAAAAACCACATTATTTGTATTAAAAACATAGTGAAAACCTTGATAAAAACATGAAAGATATGGATATATCAGCAACCTGCTCTGATACCATATTAATGTGATAAGAGCTTATGATGGAAGAATTATTATTTACTCTCATGATTACAATGGTTACAATAGTTGCCTTTATATAGAAGACTCAATTAACCTAATCATCTAGGTGAGAGAATCATATATTATCATAATTACAAATATATTCATAATATTAACATTAATAACATGGATCTTCTAGATCATTCTACATCATTGACGTGTTTAAACGAGATCCCTGAACGATATTGTATACTAAGCTTTGGTTTATTTTTAGATATATGATTTATTAAAAAAAAATCAAAGTTAGTATTAGGCATGTGCAGGACCGGAATTGATGAGAATGGAATAGGAATGGGAAATTTGAGAAACCAAATATGTTACCCGAAGTATTCCTTTATTATAATTGGACGGAGAATAACGGGAATAGGAAGGGAACAGAAAATTTGGGAATAAAAAGTTAATATCCAAAGTCTTAATAAATCGAGAAAATTGAAGATATTTCGGAAAATTACAAGAAAATATGGAGAAGATACATGAAATTTAGAAATTAGGGAAAATATAGGAAAATACGAAGAATTTTGGAAAAATATGAGAAAAATTGGGATATTTAAGAAAAGTATATAATTTTCATTTAAAAAAACCCGAAAAGATCGGGAAATCCTGTATCCTTCCTGAACCGTTCTCTTATTCGTTTGAATAAATAATGTTTCTAAACGGGAAATTGCAAATTTCCATTCCCAAAAAGTTTGGGAAATTTTAAACGTTAAGGGTGATTCCATCCGGAAATGCACATGGCTAGTTACTATACTGATTCTTGGTTATTTTATTCGTGATCGATTCTAATGCGAAAATAAATCGAGCTCTATTCCATGATCATGTCTACTACAGTCGTATTTCTCGAGTCCAATATTTTGAAGATTTTTTTTGTCAAGATTTTCATGTTTGTTTTCAGGACCAGTTTTGATTTTGTGTGGAAATAATGCAGGATACCTATAGCATATATGAGTTTCTATGATATATATATATATATATATATATATATATATATATATATATATATATATATATATTTTTTTTGTGAATTGTCAACTTCGCCTCTATTACAATTTATTTTGGATTTTGAATCCGGTTTAGCGTTGTGATGGTTATTTTTTTTGTTTTTGACAACTAAAAAGAGATAAAAGCTGGCTATTACTCTATTAGTACAGCATCATGCAGCCATACGCTATATAAAAAACTTTAGAATTCGAATAAATATTTCTTCTTTTTTTTTAAATTAAAAAATGAAAAAACAACCCCCAAATTTTTACAAATTCACGTCCAAGAAACTCGACTAGTTAGGAACAAAACGACAAAATTCTAACGTTATATACAGTAGAAACTCTATAAATTGATACTCGGTAAATTAATAAACTCTATAAAATAATAATTTTCTCCGGTCCCAAGTCTGGCCAGTGTAAAAATTAGCAAAATTTGATAAAATAATAAGATAATAATATTTTTGAAACTCCTATGTAAATATATGGTCCCATTAATATCATAAATTAATAATTACCATAAATAGTTTTATGTAAATACATATCTATGATAATATATTAAAATATAAGTATAATTTTCACTTCTTTCTTACTAAAACTCAAATATATTTAAAATTTATCCCTAATTTTAGAATGAACCTATACAAAATACAATAAATTTTTAAAACTTAACTATTTTTATTTAATTTAATATTTATTATATTTAATTTTTTTATAAAAAAACTATTTTACTCAAGATAATAACTCTATAAATTAATAAAATATCAAAGTCCCAACTTTATTAATTTATAGAGTTCTACTGTATATAGTACTTACGTAAAGCAACTGTCCAAATTTTGTTTAGAGTTTTATTTGTTATACCTGAGTTCGACAATGGAGATATTCTAATGAATAAGGACACACATCGACACATAATAGTCATATTGATGCTTGACAACATGTGTTGGCCGCAACGTAAATAATTTCTTCTTTGTAGAGACAAACATAAAAAAAAGGGACAAACATAAAAAAAAATTATATACAAAATACAAAACTATCAATAAAAACATCTAAATTGCCATGTTACAAATTGATATACCCATCAAGACACTTGAAAATACATCAAATTCCTGGCTATAGTACTAAATAAAAATAATGTTTGAGAACTCTCAAATCTAACTTGTTTTTATGCTACAAGACATTTTTAATAAATCTACGAAAATGAAATTAATCAAAAGGGCCACTCAAACTTTTATACCTCACAAATAAGATGTCCAAAGGGGCTAAGTAACCAGCCCATTTAATCTTTTCTTCAACGAGTTAAAATGGTGATCATGAAGAACATCACCAAGAACAAAAATCTCTATCCAGAAAAAGAATGAATCTCCTTTGTTACTAAATCTATAAGTGTGTGTATCAGTGTATTTCTGAAAATATAAAATCAATTGATGTAATGATGGAATTCAAACTATTTCAGTGTAGCAAGAGATAAGTTTCAATTGCAGAAACAAAATTGGGGAAGTCGTCTCGGTATGGGTTCTTCAATGGAGAACAAAGATTTCCTAAAAAAGGTGTTTGTGGAAGCAATGTCAGGAACTATACATCATAGTCAAAAGGTGATGCTTTTCGAAAGGTCAGCTACTAATTCATTCCTTTTCATTAGTTTGAGCTTATTTGTAATTGAGCGATGATGTAATTTGGGTACAATTTTCTACAAACTCTAACTTTTCCATTCTTATTTATCATTACCTCTCTTAATTGGATTTTTCTTACACCGAGACGGTGCAAGTTAAGTCTGGGGGGATTACTAACAAGTTTGTTCTTTTTGGCTTTTCATTGAGTCGTTTTATTGAGTCAAAATTTTGTCAAAGGATTATGACCTTATCTTGGATCTAACCATTGTTGTGCTAACGTTTAAGTGACCATTGAAGCAGTCTTGGCAATACATCTTACCACAGGGACACTATGAGTTGATCGATCTACCAAAAACGCCCACACCTCCAAGGACTTGAGAAGGATCCACTCTTGACTCCGCCCTTAATGAACTTAATCTTCTCAGCTAGGGGCTTGGCATACAAATGGCATGATTCCTCATCCTCTCCATCAAATGAAAAAGTCTTAGTGAGTTCGTGCTTCCCTCTCTCTCCCCTTCAAATTTAAAGAAAAAGCGTAAGGTCCAAGTAACCGGGGATTCGGTGGCAAACACCATCAATACTCGCGTCTATGGAAGGCCTATGAATCCAAGCAACCGGGGATTCGGTGGCAAACACCATCAATACTCGCGTCTGTGGAAGTCCAAGCAAAACCTCTATAATAAAGAGAAGGAGTTGAATAAAAAAATACTTCGCTACCCTAAAAAAGGGATGAGTCAACTCAAAGAAGTGAGAAGAGAGAGAGGAGAAACATGGAGTAAAAAGACAAGTGCCAAAACAAGGGGATGAGTAAGAGTCTAAAGCCGGCTGATCGATACTCCCTAGTTGAGACCACACCTTTAGAAATGAAAGGAGTCAAGGAGGGTGAATTGGATTGTCCAAAGAGAGGTGGGCCGCCTTGGAAAAATCGCAAAACTCATGGTATGTACTCTTGTTCTTAATTCAAATATTTGCCTTTACTACTTTCATGTGGATTACTAAAACCAAGCCAACCCGGATTTCCTAATGATTTGAGAGTTCTTGCGTTTTCAAACCTCTCTTCCTCTCTTAGTTTGCTTGGGGACAAGCAAAAGGCTAAGTCTGGGGGAGTTGATATACCCATATCTTTCATGTTTTTATCAAGGTTTTCACTATGTTTTTAATACAAATAATGTGGTTTTTAAGCCCAAGAGGTAGTTTTCTTGTATATTCTGGTTTTGAGCATCATTCAGGTCAAAATAGCAAAGAAGAGTCAAAATGGAGCAAAAAGAGTCAAATCACCAAGTTCCCAAGTCTAGAGCACCAAAATACATTTCTCGCTAAAGACCAAACCGGAGCATCCGAAGTACGACCGCATGTTCATGCCTTCCCGACGTCCAAAAGTCATGATTCTTATATGGAAAGATAGATATTTGAGTCATGACCCGCGGCGAAGTGGAAAGAGGTCATTTGGATCACTCGTTGGACCGGAACTTATTTTCTACCAAGACATGTCCGACGAGCGCCTAAGTAGAGCCCATGGAGACTTTGATGGATCAAGAGGCCCGGATACCGCGCCCAAGGCCTTGGCTCATCTTGACACTAGCATAACTCAATCCAGAAGCTTCCATTGGCCTGAACGCGGCCCATTCAAGAACTTGGAGAGCAAGCTCAAGCGGCTAAAGAGAAATGGAAACTTTCCTCTTCTGCGCGCGCTCAACTTTGCCGACCTAGACCCGCTCTCTACCTATATATACTTGCTTTTAGCCTCTTGTAATAAGAATCACCAGCCGCATAACAAGAAACACTTATTCAATAAAGTTCGGAGCCACTTAGGTGGTCTCCTTCTTCTTTCTTTTCTTCTTTTGCATTTGTATATAGCTTGCATGTTTCAATTTATATAGTCTAGAAGTAGAGATTTCTCCCTAAGGGTGAGGCGTGGTTTAGTCATATTCCGCCGCCTCTCTCTCTAAGGATTCATGAGACTTCATCTACTATCTAAGACTCATTGTTGAATTATGGATCCTTCCAATGAGGACGTGATATAATGGCCATCGAAAATCGATTGTTAAAAGGGGAAACCCTATGGTTCTCCATCTTTATTTATGCTTAATGCCTGTTGCTAGAGTAGCTAACTAGTGACTTGATTTTAGGTTGATATACTCTCCAAAAGCTTGTTATATCTCCGGATATATATTTGATGGGCAAATCGTTTTAGGCTACGAAAGTAGACCTAAAGAGTTTTGTGAACAATCATTACTTGGATGTAATGCATGTCTCACTCTACAATGACCAACGAAAGCTGAGCCCATTGGTTTAAGAGACATAGGGGATTGGAACCACGAAAGTGGAATAATCCTTCCTTAGTGTTTTGAGTTCAAAAGAATCGGATTTTAACAAACTTTTCAATCGACTTGGCTCATGTTTTCAAAAGAGTTTTCAATAGTTCAATAATGTTGCTTGTATAGAATTGCATTGTTATTTCTTTTGCGTGTTCTAAACAAACACAAACCCTTGCATCTTTTGATTTAGCTTAGTCATTTAAACTCTATGATTATGTAATGTGTGAAATCCAATCCCTTGTGGTTCGACCCCTAAATACTACAATTATATGTTGTGCACTTGCAACACTAGTTGTCTTAGGGAATTATTACTTGTACTCATCCCATAGATGCCGCGATCAAAAACCAGAATATACAAGAAAACTACCTCTTGGGCTTAAAAACCACATCATTTGTATTGAAAACATAGTGAAAACCTTGGTAAAAACATGAAAGATATGGATATATCAACTCCCCCAGACTTAGCCTTTTGCTTGTCCTCAAGCAAACTAAGAGAGGAAGAGAGGTTTGAAAACGCAAGAACTCTCAAATCATTAGGAAATCCGTGTTGGCTTGGTTTTAGTAATCAACATGAAAGTAGTAAAGGAAAAAACGTGAATTAAGAACAAGAGTACATACCATGAGTTTTGCGATTTTTCCAAGGCGACCCCACCTCTCTTTGGACAATCCAATTCGCCCTCCTTGACTCCTTTCATTTCTAAAGGTGTGGTCTCAACTAGGGAGTATCGATCAGCCGGCTTTAGACTCTTACTCATCCCCTTGTTTTGGCACTTGTCTTTTTACTCCATGTTTCTCCTCTCTCTCTTCTCACTTCTTTAAGTTGATACATCCCTTTTTTAGGGTAGCGAAGTATTTTTTTATTCAACTCCTTCTCTTTATTATAGAGGTTTTGCTTGGACCTTCCATAGACGTGAGTATTGATGGTGTTTGCCACCGAATCCCTGGTTACTTGGATCCATAGGTCTTTGATGTACTTGCATTTTACATAGTTTTAGCACATCTTTTATGCATCTTTTGCATAGTTTTAGCTTCCATTTGCATCATATCTTGTTCCTTTTCTCTTCTTATGCATTCATGTTAGTTTTAGGTTGCATTTGCATACATATGCATGTTTGGTCCTTTGAAATAGGTCTTTTGGAGCATTCTGGAGCATATGGGACATAAGGAGCATGGAGGGACTTGGCACATGGAAGCAGCTCAACTGGATACGCAAAGGAAGAAGGGAGAAGCCATCTTGAAGACCAGCTCGACCGTCCACTCGACCAACCGGTCGAGTTCCTCAACTCGACCGGCCAAGCTTCAACTCGATCGAGCTGAGAAGTCAAAGTCAAACCCGAAAAATGTTGCTTCCCCCTTGACTTTCCTTTGACCCTAAACCTAATCCTCTTGTATTTAAAGGCTCTAAGCCACGAAAAAACCACCAAGCTTTAGATTATTTTGTTTTAGTTTCTTTTAATTTATTGTCTTTTACTTTTTAGAGATCTAATCCCATCTTTGTGTTCTTGAAGCTCTTGCTTCTTGAATCCTAGATCCTGGATAATCTCTTTGTATTTGCACTTGCTTATTTCAATAAAAGTTGTTTAATTTCATCTCCTCTTTCTTATGATGTCTCTTTTATTGCATTTGCTTGTGTTTACATTCATGTGTAGTGAGTAGTTACCCATTAGGGTTTGAGATGGGATAGATTAGAGGTTTCATATGCTTAATCCTTCTAGCTTATGGTCTTAATCTAGATTCTCTCTCTTTTGGATAGATCTTAAGGCTACATGACCACTACCCCTGGCTTGTAAGTCCTTAGGCGACTCCCCACACGAAAGTGATGGCATTCGCTGGAAAAGATCCACTAAGAGCTCCAATATCTCTTGCTCTAGACAATAGAGGTCTAAGGGGTTGGATGGATTAGTTTGGGCAATGATCCTATAGCCTCCAAGGTTTGATTCTCACTGGCTAACCCCCTGTTTCTGAGATCATTCCTTGGTTGATAGCCTCCACCTTGGGAAAGGGTTGGCTAGGCATTGAGAAGCCCAATATCAAGAGAAGCCTTGATACAAGGAGTTTTAAGAGCTAGATTGATTAAGTGTAGATTCCTTTGATTGCAAAACCCTGTCTTGAACCCTAATTCTCTCTTTATCTTGTTAAAGTCGTCACCTTTAGCTTTGTTTGTCTCAACTCGTCCCTAAACTCGATCGAGCTGGTACTTTGCTCTGACTCGACTCGAGTCTTGGTCGAGCTGACACTTCACTGCTTTGTTTACTTTTATTGCACTGCTTTTCATTTTTTTAGGTTGTTAGTGTTACTTCAAATCTTTAACTGCTTGCTTGACTTCCTGGTTGTTTCATATTCTCATAGAGTGACAAGTTTCCCATTTTGGATTGATAACCTCTTATACTTCAATGACTATGATGGTTAAGAGGAATTGATTGATTGTGATTGCACCATACCATCATCTTTATTCACCCTGTTTGCATTCCACCTCATATCATCTTCATTCACATCACACAAAATCCTATCATCAATTTGGCGCCGTTGCCGATTTGGGAATATTTTTGTTGCATTTGAGTTTCAAACACACTTGGACGATCAAGCTATACCACCCCTGTTCTATTGTACTGCTGGGTTTTTGTCTCTTTTTGCAGGTGTATGCGAACTCGATCGAGTCGGTCTACAGAGACTTGGTCGAGCTAGACATTACAACGGGTAGAAAGAGGGTTCAGAGGTCACAGAGGGTACAAGAGGAACCTGAGGTGCTTGTTGCTGATACAATGGATGTACCAGAGGGGAATGGAAACCCTTTGGGAATGGACTCGGTCGAGCTAGGCAAACTCGACCGATTGGTCAAGGAGATGCTCCAAACCGCCACCAACAGAGACAAGGGATTGTTCCACCACCAGTGCAGAACCACAACTTTGAGATCAAGCTGGGAATGATCAACCTTGTCCAGAACAAGATGTTCCATGGATTGCCAAGTGAAGACCCCATTGACCACCTTGATGAGTTTGATAGGCTTTGTGATTTGACAAAGATCAATGGTGTCTCTGAAGATGCCATCAAGCTGAGACTCTTTCCTATGTCTCTAGCTGACAAAGCTCACCAATGGGAGAAGAGCTTGCCCCATGGCACAATCACCACTTGGGATGAATGCAAGAAGGCCTTTCTTGCTAAGTTTTTCTCCACCGGTCGCACAGCCAAGCTTAGAGGAGAGATATCCAGCTTCATCCAGCGAAACAATGAGACATTCGCAGAGGCTTGGGAGAGGTTCAAAGGCTACACAAGTCAGTGCCCACACCATGGATTCAACAATGAATCACTACTCTCCACTCTTTATAGAGGATGCTTGCCTAGGTATAGGGAGATGCTAGACACAGCTAGCAATGGGAACTTCCTCAACCAGGATGTAGATGATGGCTGGCAACTTGTGGAGAACATAGCTAACTCAAATGGAAGCTATGGAGAAGAGTATGATCGCACCAACCGGAGCTCGACCCACCACTCGATCGAGTCAGACGAAAAGTTGAGAAAAGATGTTAAGGCATTGAATGAGAAGTTGGATAAGCTGATCCTAGCTCAGTCCACAATGAAGAAAGTCAACTTTGTGTCTGCTGAGGAGATGGAACCAGTCCAAGAAGGGGAGGATACACAATTTGCTGAGGTGTGCTACATGAGCAATGGGCAAGGAGGTTACAACAAAGGATACTATAATTACAAGTCCAACCCTGCCATGTCATACCGCAACACTGATGTTGCTAACCCTCAGGACCAAGTATATCCTCAACAACAAGCAGCTCGATCGAGTCAGGTGCCACAACATGGGTATGGTCAAAAGAACAATTACCAAGGACCACAAGGCACTTTCCCTGGACAACAAATGAATATCCCACCAGGCTTTCCCCCACCAACCGCCCCAGCCTGCACCTTCACAAGAGAATGAGCTCAAGGCAATGCTAAAGCAACTACTTCAAGGGCAAGCTGATGGGGTAGTGGACACAAGCAAGAAGCTAGCTGAAATAAACTCTAAGATCGAGAACCTCAACACAAGGGTTTACTCTCTGGAGAATCATGCTTCTTCTGTTGCTGCTGCTACAAAGCAAGGACAACTACCTGGTAAAGCTATTCAGAACCCCAAGGAACAGTGCAAGGTCATCTTCACTCAAGAAGGACTTGTTGAAGAAGAGGATCAAGAAAGGGTCATTGAAGATTTTTGTTTACTGCTGAATGATGAAGAGATTGTTGCTGCTGAGGCTCCTGGAGTCCAGATTGATCAACCAGAAGTGCATGCACCTACTGTGGCCATTCACACTTCACCAGTTGAGCTCGCACGACAAGCTCGATCGGCAGCTCGATCGAGTCCAACTCTAGCTCGATCGAGTCCGACCTCTTCTGTCCGAAGCCTGTTTTGCTTGATCCTTACCAACCGGTTGCCGCTTCCTCGTCTCGCCTACTTAGTCAAGGTCACAAGGAAGTGATTCACAAGTTCAGAAGAGATCTCAGTGGGATTGGAATTGAGTTGCCTCCTATGGATAGCATGAGTGAGGCATTTGATCAAATGCAAATGGTCAAGGATGTTCTAGCCAACAGTGATAAAGTTTCAGAGGTCCTACAAGAGTCTACTCATCAGTTCAACCTGCTTACTTCACCCACCTTCCTACCAAAGGTCAAGGATCAAGGGAAATTCACTCTCCCTTGCACACTTGGGCATCTTGAGATTGACAATGCCTTAGTGGATTCTGGAGCAAGCATCAATCTGATCTCTCTCTCCATGGCAGAGAAGCTAGGCATTGCTGGAGCCTTGCAGCGCCCTACTACTTCAATCATGTTTGGAGATGCAACTTCTAAGTCTCCTCTTGGAGTGTTCAAGAACTATCACTTGAAAATTGGAGAATGCATCATCCAAACTGATCTCACTGTGATGGAAATGGAAGAAGAGAAGGATTACCTCTGTTATTGGGAACCCCTTTCCTTAGTACAGTTGGCGCTTCAATAGACTTTCACAAGCAAGAAGTGATCCTTCACAAGGTGAATAGTTTGGTGTCATATCGCTTGCAGCCTAGAGGTTCAGACTTTTGTGCCACAATTGACAGTACCACTCTCAGTTCTAAGAGTCATGGAGCTACAAAGGTTGTGAAGGAAAGGGTTGACAAAGAACCAAGAGTTGGGAAGGATAAGGATGAGAGAGGACCAAGGATTGAGAAGCCACGTCTTGAGAGGGCTAGAGTTGAGAAACCACGATCTGATAGGCCAAGAGCTGAGAGACTTGTTCAAGCCCCTTGTGTGCTTGATGAAGAGAGCCTTCAAGCTTTGTTTGATGAGCCACTAGGAAGGGCTCTAAAAGAAGGGGAGGATGCAGCCTCTAAGGCAAGACCAGGTGATAAAAGAAAGGATCCACCAGCTCAGGCCCCTTCAGTCAAGCCATCTCAGCTCACAATGACTTTGTTCCCCACCAAGTTTGAAAATGGGAAGATTGAGTACAAGATAAGGTACAAGGGGAGATCAAGGCCATTCTCTAGAGCCAAGGCCTTGGTGACTTCAGAACAGTCCAGGGACCCAACCAAGCTAAAGGAGCTTCTGTCTCAAGTCCTCACTATCACCCTTGATGGTGGGACTAGCTCAACCAATGCCTAAGAAGGTAAAGGTCAAGCTATGGGACCTTAAACAAGCTCACTTGGGAGGAAGTCCCATGTTTATCCTTGTACATACTCTATTTATGCAATTTCTATCTATCTTTATGTTTTTAACCTTTGAATAAGTTAAGTTTAGGTGTCAAAGAGCCAGCTCACTCGACAGCTCGATCGAGCTCGATCGAGCTAGAAACCAGGGCAACTCGATCGAGTTCCACAACTCGACCGAGGTAAGTTTTTGAATTTCAAATTCATAACCGTTTTCTTGGTCAAGGGAGTGGGTCCCACAAGCTGATTTTGGTCCCCCACTACCCTAATTGATCAGAGAATCCCTAGCTTCTTGTTCCCTCTTTATTTCATCTTTTAATCTCAACCACACATCTCAAACACCCCTCTTCCCCATAACTCGATCGAATCCACCTTCTCCACTCTCCCACACTTAAATTTCTGAAATCATCTCTCTCTCTCATCACCACAAGAAAATCGATTTCTCTCTTTCTCTCTAAGTTTTTGCGATTTCTCTTCTTGTTCTCTTGCTTTAGTTCTTGTTTACTGTTCTTCCATCATCCAAGCAAGGTATGAACCCTAAAACCCTTGATTCATCCATCTCGATTTCCTATTGCTTGTTTCTCTTTGATTTTTGATTGCATGTGTCCCTTGTGGACTTGTTCTTGAGTAATTGCTCATATTTCTCTGCTGTATAATCTTGTGTTTGTTTCACCTCACCTCTGTTTTGCCATTAAACTTGTTGCATGTGCTTGAAAATTGAATTTGAGTTTGGTATGGTTGGTTGCTATGTTTTCACTAGAATTGCTCATTGTTCCATTTACTAGTTGTTCTTGGTTCAATTTGATTGATTAGCATCCTTTCCAGCTCTTAATACTTGAATTAGGTTTGGTTATACTCTGTTTTCACCAACTCGATCGAGTTTGTCACTCGAGTTTTTTGACTCGATCGAGCTGAGTGTCGAGTTGACCAAACCGATCATTACAACTCTAATTCTTTGTAATCTTTGATGCATTTCAGGTACTTTAGTGAAGAAACAGTGTAACAAGAGATGACAAACAGTGAGGGAAGCCGTGCTTCAAGGGAGAATGGTTGAGGGTGAATCAAGCAATGCAAGAAAGAAGGCTTAAGATGCAAGCCGATTTGGAAGAGGATGGATCAGAGGATGGAAGATCTGATGCAGAGGATATGTCTACTCTGAGGAGAACAGTCTGAGAGTGAGAGATTGAGGGAAGAAAGGAGAACCAAGAAGAGGAATGACCCATTAGTAGTGAGAGTGAGCAAGGGGAGTTTGAGATTGGAGTGAACCTTGTTCAAGAGGAGGGAAATGGTTCTCCAAATGAAGAAGGAAGTGATGAGACTGAGAGTGAAGAGGAAGGAGAAGAGGTGAACCAATTGGTTGATGAAGATGAGCAAGAGGGGAACCAAGATGAGCCAATGGAGGAGGCTGAGGAAGAGCAAGAGGAGGATGAGCTCCCCATGTACCAAGAGCACTACAATGCTCTCTTCTCCATGGACTTTGTGGAGACCAAGTACCCACATGATGACACATGAGGACCTTGGATCTTTGAGGATGTGGAGTTGGTGCTCAAGAACATGCAATTGGAAGTTCTTCTCTCACCGCATGGAGTCTTACAAGGAGCTGACTTGTGAGTTTTTGGCGTCGATGAAGGCATCACGAGTTTGATGAGCTCGATCGAGCTGAGTTGGACCAAGGCTGGGGGTACATAACGTTCTTGGCAAAGGGAGAGAAGAAGATGGTGACCTTTAGGCAGCTTGAGATACTGTTTGGGTTCACTATGGAGAAGGAACCTGTGGAACATCAAGGAAGAAGAACTCCAAAGAGTATGGGCTACAATCGCTGAAGAGGGGTACTCTTCCTCAAGGTCCAAGGCTGCCAGATCAGAAGTCCTGTGCTTAGATATGTCCACAAGGCTCTTGCAAACACCTTCTTTGCAAGGAAAGCCACTGGAACAATCAATGAGGGAGAAGTGAAGCTCCTTGACATGGGAATCAAGCCTATCATCTCACGCACAAGGGATGGGAAGAAGATCAGAGGAGATAGGGCACACGCAGGGAATCTCATGCCTCTCCTTGAGCAGCTCCAAGCCTACAAGGTCACAGCTTACAACACTAGGCACCAAGAGGAAGAAAGCTTAGTGTTGGAGGGGTGATCACACCAATTCTTTGTGCAGCAGGAGTCAAGTGGACAAGAGAAGGTCTACTCCACCAGGTTGGATGGACATCAAGTTTTGCAAGACCAACCTCCTCATTGAGCACAAGGAGTTGGATGGGAGATTCCAATTCAAGTTCACCCATCCATTGGCTGGACCTCCAAGCTTCTTCTGCCCAACCCTGAGCTCACCACGGTCTAGGAGGTACGAGAACATTGACTTCAGACCCCCTGTGTACACATTAGTTGGGCATGAAGCGGATTTGCGAGAAGAGGAGCCTGAGCTCGATCGAGCTGAGGATCGAGCTGAGATCAAGCTGAAGATGAGTGCAGGAGAGTGCGGATTTGGGTGAGCCTGAGTGCTATTACTTTGAGGAGTATGAGGCTCCAAGGATGAACCCCTCTGTTGTGGCTGCCCACAAGAGGATTGGACTTCTCCAAAAGTTCAACAAGTGGCAAGGGAAAGCCATGGAGAAGATGCAAAAGTCCATGGACAAGATGGTGAGCAAGATCAAGAGTTTGGAGAAGAAGGTTTCTGGTTCTTCAAGCAAGAAGAAGAAGTCCAAGGCCCCACTTTCCCTAGGAGTAGTCACTCCTCACCACCAAGGAGGCTCTCCCCAAGAGCCTCACAGAGCCTCTTCTTTCGAGCCAAGGGAAGGAGAAGACAACACGCAGAGAAGGAGGAAGACGTCCAAGGCCAGACGCTCCAGCTCGACCACCGGACTCGATCGAGTCCAAACAGAGGAAACTCAACTCGATCGAGCTGAGGGTCGAGTTGACCTGGAGGAGCCCCTGTTTGAGATCCTGGATTTGAGTACGATCAACGCAGTACCAGGACTTCTCCCAGACCAATGGACCCCTACAACAGCTTCGAGCAAGCACAGCTCCTCCAAGGCCAAGGAGCCACACACATTTCAACGATGAAGAAGAGGAGGAAGAGGAGCCACAAGCTCGATCGAGTGAGCCAAGAGGCAACCCCAGTTGCATGGAGTGCTCCTGATGGCCGTCTCCCATCTCCAGACCACGACCTAGTCTCCCAGTTCTTTGGGGGACACTGAGGTATCCAAACACCAACCCTTGTATATACCATTTCATATTTTCTTGCATTTGTTCTTGTTTTTTCTTGGTTTTGCCCTCTTGAATCTTTCACTAAATTTTTCTCACACAAGGGACTGTGTGATTTAAGTTTGGGGGAGGGTTCAAGAGATGATTTAACCTTGTTTTCTTTGTTCTTAGTTTTTCATTTATCTTTTGCATAGAAAAACCAAAAAAATCATAAAATTTTCAAAAAATCCAAAAATATTTTCATCTTTTTGCATTCATATTTGTTAGACTTGTTTAGGATTGCATTTTTCACTTGCATTGTTGATTTGACTTTGAAAACTTGTCCATCTTTTGCGATTTCTTGAGTGCCCTGTTTTTAGATTCTTTTGTGCATTAGGGTGAGATTGATTGAGCAGCAAGAACCATGTTTATCTTGATCATATCGCTGCATGCACATCTCATTCAACCATTGCTGTGATTTGATGCATTTCCCTATCTATTGAACCATAACTTGATCTTTAATTACCAATGCTTGCATTTGATTTCAACTCATGGCTACCACATACATATCTGGACATTCTTTACCTATTTTCATATCCCTTTTGCTTGTCCAGATAGCTGATCTCTATCTTTGAGACAGTTACCACACCTTAAACCTAAGCCTTTTCATTTCAAACCCCATATTATCTCTTGTGCGAATGTGAGAACCTTTCTTGGCTTTGCTTAGCATAAGGTGTTGTGTTTAAACCGGCAGG